CGGGCGTATCTGCAATGAACCTTTTTGTCACCATCTTGTTAACTCAGCTTTGTACATAAAGTTGGTGTCACTTACAGCAACAATATTAAGCTATGGCAACTGTTTCTTTAAAGTCCAGTCTGTATTTTCAAATTGTTTTTCATTTTCTCTTTGCATAAACTGTATTTTTTCATTCTCAAAGCTGTATGTATTTACAATTTCTGTGCATATGGTACCACTGTAAATTCTTAGAGTCAGGGTTTGACACAGGTGTTTTTTAACAAATATTTATCTTTCTTGTTGAGATGTGAATGTCTAGACACTTGTATGTTTTACACGACTGTAGATTAGGCAGATTGTATAGGTTTAAGTGTGAATTTTACAGCTGCAGGATTTTTTTTCAGGACAGCTATTAGTTACACAAAACACCAACTCTCAAGTCAGTAATCTCCTGTTAAATTGATTTACACTCTTTCCACTTTAACTGTACGGTCAAAATTCTGCGTTTTCTCCCTCAAGCATCTCTCTGATGACTAGAAAAGGATTTTTCCTGAATCTTTTTATAGACTTAGACTGTGCGGTTTATTTTTATCCAACGCTCATATGAATTTCATTGTCAAGAGGGTATTATATTGTGCCCGAGTCTGGCTGAAGTCGTCCCTCTTTCTGTATTCATGGCATCCTGGCTGGGAATGATTATGACTGTAGAAAGTGGGAGGTAGCAGTGGCTCTGTGTTGTTGTCATGACACCTGCTACAGAATAATTGCATGGTTTATCAGGTTGCAACACAAGGCTTAATTGCATTGTTTTATTCCAGACTGACGAAAATACAGTTTTTATTGCTTTCGCAAAGAAAGCTATACGTTAAGGATTTCAGATACGGTTCAGAACATCTTCGTGAACGATCCATTGGCCGGGAAGTTCAAGGGCATCAGAGAATTTAGTCATTTTGCTTTTGGCTCGAACATCTTTCCATCTGTTCCCTTTTGTCAGCTCCATTGTTGATTGACTGATTGCTGTGTGGATGCATTCATATGCACTGATTTATTAACGTTGACAAATATTTTTGGTAAGGGGCTTTTGCCACATTGTTTAAACTGGTTGAGTACATGAAAGCATTAGATTTGTCATTACCTTTGAATAACCAAGAGTCTTGATTCATATAGCCAGTGGACATAATACACTACGTCAATATGGGCAGACTCCCAGCAAATCTTCAGTGAATACAGTAATAAACTTCCTGTGGGGAGGAACGATGTAGAGGGCTGGACCAACACATGGAGGTATATAATATACCAAACAGAGTGTGCTGAATGCAAATCAGCCTCTGCAGATTAAAGTCCAGAAGACATTTGAAGGTTGTGAAAATGAGACAAATTATCAAACGGAGAAGCATAAGATTTTCTGTCCAGATATTATTACCCAAAATGGCCGGAGATGTTTACTTTAACAAGGTGCTTATGTTCTAACTATGCAACGAGTAGGTTTCCAACAATATTGTGATATTAGCAATTTGTGTATTAAACACAAGCAGTTGTCCTAATGTGTGTAAAATAGTGTATAGAATTTGGAAACTGTTATGGTTTGCCATGCATAATAAAGGACTTTGTACAAATCTGATTGGACCTATTTGTCATTTTCTTAATAGAAAATTAAAAGTCGATGGCTGAGGATCTGAAGTAAAGGGCATTTTTTCAAGGTTGCTTTGGACTTCAGTAGAGAGCCTCAGCAAATACTCAGAGTTGACCATGTGGGTAACAAAACTAAGATCAAATCTTTAGCAATCTTAACCCCCTTAACAGAACATTTCAATTCAAACATGGAGAAAAATCCATCTCACTGCAGTCGATCAAGAGCCAGGGCATGTTGTTGCTCAGCTCTGACAGCCAAATCAATAAGTCAGTTCATTCAGCTCTCTGCCAAATCAAAGATCATATCAAATGATATCACAAATTCTTATAATTTCTTTAACTCAGATCTATAGATGGTTTAGACAGTTGTTTTTCCACATCTATTTGATTAGATGCATAATAGTTGCTGAAATAATGTGTATTATAAATTGTAGAGCAGGCAGGCCCAGTGTGATTTTATATAAGCAATTAGGCATAATTACAAGTTGTTCTGAATATCACCAGGGATACAGATCTATTTCTTTATATTCAGCCGTCAGGACTGAGAATTGTTGGTAATATGCTTGCCTCACATGTTCTCTAATATCATGAGTGAGAAGAGCATTCGGAACTGGATAGTAAACACTCATTTTCTTAGTTCGTTTAGGTGTTTTGAATTTTCAGTTTGGAGCAGTAGTCTCTGGTCATTATTTTAGTAAAGAGCACTTTGGGCAGCCTGGCTGTAAACTTTAAATCAATACCTTGCTTATATACTGTTTACTTTAATAAGAAAAGATTTGACTGTGAATAAAAAATGATAGGTAAACAGAGAACATCAGTCATTTGATATGCTGCATTACAGACAACAGTCAGCTACTATTTATTCTCAAGCCATCCTCTGAATGTCTGCAGTCGTAACTATTAAAAAAACGTAAGTTTATTAAAAGCTTTGTTTTGAAGATAGGACACAGTGAGAGAAACATGTTTGCTTCACTTCGCTTTCACTGCCCTCTGCTCCCTTCATTTATCTTGTCTCATGACAAACAGACAGTCTGTGTCTCAGTAGCAGGGTATGCCTTTTGTTCGGCGGGAGGAAAGAGTACGTTTTGTTTTACTTCATGATGTGCTACTGTTTGCTTTCCCTAGCAATGATCCAAACCCCTTCTGGACCCAAACCCGTAATTTAAGTCTGCTGAGAAGTGATTAACATTATATAGTTCAATCGCATTTGACTGAAAGCTGCTAAACTTGAAATATGGTTACAACCTTGTGAGTATATGTTCTTCACCTTATTTATCCTCAGTGTTAATGTCTGCAAATGAACAGCTAAATTAGTATTCATAGGCGTGTGACTGATTGCTAATAGGGTATTTAACACATTTTGCAACAGATAATTGGAGAATGATAAAGTGTTTAATGTTGCCCTAATGAATTAATATTGTGCTGACAATTAATGTATTATTTGATTGTGGCAAAATGTTGTTTGGGGCTTTTAGAGGTCAGATACATGCTGAGTTTTCAGCCACGTTGTTTTATTTCAATAAAGTCTATGCTGATTGTTCCTGCTGTCCATTGGTTTCTAACAGTGAGCAGCAGAAGTGGGCAGCAAAGGGCCCACAACTCTGAATAAGCCTTTTAAAGCACACAGAAGCAGCAGCTTTATCTAAACCTTTTATCTCTGAAAAACTGAACACCACAGTGGCCTCATTAAAACAGAACTGATCTGAGTTGCATTTTTAGTTCTTCTATATCCACATTTCTCAGAGGAGAGTGCTATAAATGGGACAAGTTCAAGCACAATGAAAGTAAACTGAAGCAAACCAGATACTTGTTGAGTGAAATGCTTTTATGTGAAGAAACCCTGTGTATTTGTATCTCAAAATGATATCTCTAATCAGACTAGAGAGTGTCTGAGTCAACTGGGCATCAACAATACTTATTCATTTGTACTGTAATCACTTTCTATTTGCAGAGTCGTTGGATTTTTACTGTAGATACTTTTCTGTAATTGCATTTTTGATTAGCGGACATTCTTGTTTGAAAGCCGAATAAAAAGCAATTATAATCTTGTCTGTGAACCGCTGCAGCTGACAGCCTGGCCCTAAACTTCTGGCTCAAAGTGGCTGTAGATGAGTAAATTAAACAGTTATTAGCTGACCATCTTTAACCTCTCGATTCATTTATCATTGAGAACAGTAAATGATGTAGTCAGATGTGTGCCTATGCCACAAACTGTGTGAATGCATAATAAAATGTGATGTCTCCGTCCACATTTTACCAAAATGCATCAACGAACAACATTGAGGCAATGGTAGTTTGTCAATAATTGTGGAATAAGAGGTTGAGTTTCTGAATGATAAGAGTATACATTCTCTGGTTGACCACCGAGTATTTTAAAATTGCTCCCAAATTAGCCTAGAATTTTTATAATTTGAAGCACACAAAAGCATTTTTTTCAAATCCACACACGTTTCAGATTTGCAGGCCTGGAATACTGAAGAATGAATGTAGAGAAAAGAATGTAAAAGCAACAGCTGTGCCACGGAAGCTTACATTTGAGGCCAAAAGAATGCCAATTATCCGTTCACATCTGTCCCCCAAGACCAGCTGTCAGTCACCTCCATAAAGCATCTTGCATATGTGCTGCAGTCATTTGTTCGGATGTGCTCAGCCAACTCTGAACAAACAGGGGACACATGAAGATGCTCTAATAAACTTGAGAGCATGTAGTTAAGACTAGGTAAACTCCCTTCATATCTCAGGCGCATTAAAAGCTTTTCTGTCATTGCTGTCAGAGGGGATGTTATGAAGCATGACCTGGAGCTCTGATGCAGAGCAAATAACTCAGTCGATGCTATGCTCTATTTATATTGTATAAACAAACAACATTAAAAGTTTTCTAATCTTCAATATTGAAGTCTTTCAGCAGAATATAGGAGGCCACAAACAAATATGATAAAAGTCTCGATTGTTTTTGTTCAAAATCCAAAAGCTCAAAAGCTTTAAAGCCTTTCCAGCAAGCACTGATCATGGAGTAGCTTTTGCATCGCATAGTTTCACCCCACCATTTTTCTGCAGCTGAACAAGGTATGTGTCTCAACAATCCTCAAGGAAAATCCTCGTGCAGTGTGAAAGGTCCTGTTTGCAACCTGACGTAAAAAATCTAAATAGCACCTTTGTTGAAACCAATATGAAATTTCTGAGATTGAAGTTGTTTAAGATGCTGAATGTTTGCTTGGCTCACCAGTCAGGCATCCTTACTGACTGTCCAAGCTCGGGGTGTTATGAATGTTATCTGCTGCTGTCAAGCAGTTTTGCAGTGAAGAAATAACAGAAAGCAACAACTCCTACCATTTCAGCATGTTTTTTTACTTTGTAAAGTTTTACTTACCTTAGACAGCTTTTTAAGTGAAACTTGAGCACTTCCTTCAAAAACAAGATGTTTTTTTTACATTCCATCTAAGTCCTGCCCAGCTAAATTAACACAATATGTTTCTGTGAAATTTGATGAGCATTATATCTGTCCAAATACCAGTATGTGAATGGTTTATGCCTTTCGGTGAGAGAAACTTTATTAGATTAGCTGCAGTTTGAAATGGAACATTCAAAACAGTGTCTGTTTCACGCCTACGTTGATACAGTTGGCAGGAAAAGTACAAGAAAGACAAGCTGTAGAATAAAAGGCAACATCGTTTTCTAAAAGCAGATAAAAGAACCAAATAATGCAAATCTTCACGATACTGCGGTTTAGCTTATTTCTCCATTTTTGGGATCTAGCTTAGAATTAACATCAAATTCTATCCTACACTCAAATAAACCTGCATGCATCTTTATTTAGTAAATTAATAGAATGTATTTGTTACATATGGAATAAAATGTAATCCAGAAAATTATATTCAAATTTTAACAGTATGAGAAGGTGAAATAAATTTTGTTACTGTCATTTAAAAAAAATAAATAAATAAATAAAAACTTTTTTTCTCTCCCATTTAACAATCTACTTACAGCAATCATTATGTTATACAGTTATGAGCAGGCAGTATATTAACACTATTTGCACTTGTCTACAACAGGTGAATATAGTATCTAACTGCACATGCCAATATAAAAAATACACTGCTTATTTAAAGTCACAAAGTCAGGCCTCCCAGAGATGATATTGTGTGTTTTATATTGCAATAATATACAGAGCACCCAGCAAAAACATAGTTATTGACTGCACCATTTGTTAAAATCAATTCCCATGTCCTGTCAACCTGCAGGAATATGTTTCCATAGCAACTGCAAGGTGTCAGTGTGTACAGGAGGACAGTGTAGATTTTTACAGGGTTTCTGGATGGAGTTTGGAGCACGTGTGTGTGCAGGTTGGTGTGTTACCCCCTTACAACATGGTGCATGCATTTTTGTCCTTAGATCACACTTTTTCCCTCATATTTTATCTGATTTTCCCTGTGTCATTCCCTTATCAGTGAGAGAAGGAAAAAATGCATTAATGGTTGAAGAAAGAGTAACTGACGTCTGGTGTCTTTCTCTTCAAACTTCAATGATGTTGATTGATGGCACTGAGGGATGAAACTGCAACACAGCAGAAAAATGTAATTTACATCTCTGGATTGCAAAAAGATACGGTTCACTTTTTACGCAAGTTGCGATATTTATTGCGAGATACATTTTCCTAAATGTATTGGACTCCTATATCCTGTTACTGTTTAAAAAAAAAAACATTTTTTGCAAGTGGAATTTCTCAATGATTTCAAAATCTTTGATAAATATTGTATGTCATAATTGTCTGAGCACTGTCTGAGGTCAAACACTCAACTATTGTGACAAGACCATCCCAATACGTGCACAATCATTTCCAAACAGGGTGAAACTACTGTCTGTCACTGAGGGGTTTCACGCTAATGTAAATTAAGCTACTGGCAAAACTTTCATTGTGTTAATATAACATTACAGTTCGCATTTAAATGATGGATGTATGGATGAAATACGCGTGTTATCAACATTTCAAATGAAAATGACCTCTTCCGACCCGACTGTGTCACCCAAACCCTCACCTTGCTCCTCAGCAGTCCCCCACTGTGGTGCTCCGGGGTGCTCCTTTCCGACGACGGTTTGACCTTCTCCTTACTGTTGCTGGAGTCATTGTCCTTTATGATGTCATACTGGCGACAGAACAGGGCAATAACAGCTGCCAGGGAAGAAGAGAGAGCTAAATGTGAAACGCACATGCACACACAATAGGCAGGAAGTCGAGAAGAAGCGACTGTCACTCACATGACACCACTTCCCGTAACTGAGCACCCTGAAATGTCATGTGGATAATGGGTTTGTTCTCCCCAGAGATGCATACTGTCTGTGTGGGAAGTGGCGAAGCGCACTCTGTTGCATTTTGTAATCTTTCAGAGGCGGTTCTTCCTCCAGTCTGTGCAATACTGTAAATTTATAATGAACTTCCTGGCATCAGTGAATTTATGAATGTCTAAGAGATATTCCGAAAATGTATGCGCATTTGTGGTAATGAGCCCTGCAGAGCTGCGGTGAGCTTTATTTGATTGGCATATCATTATTCACGTTTCATGTAAGTGATCTCCACAGATGAGCCTCAGTGATATTGTCTAATTAGTAGAGGGATGTTGATGGTGCATATTTGCACACATTTTTATTTTCATGGCAAAATAAAAGATCTGTCTCTTTTTTTTTCATATGTGTACTTTTTACCAAACTATTTGATAATTGACATTTTACTTCAGAAACTTACTCCACACTTAAACAAAAGATAAAGATTAGAACAAGTAGAGGATTTCCTTTAATCATAAAGTAACAAATTGAGGAAACTAAATTACAACCTTGAAATTCTCACAATCCCACCCTCTACGGTATGTGTGTTACTGTGGTTTTTCTCATTAGTGTTATTTAACATCTCACTCTGATCCTCGTAGGTGGGAAGCTCCGCTCCTGGCACCCTGTCAGATGTGCCACATCTCATTGGGCTGCAACACTTCATTAATAAGCAAAAAACCACAAAGGAGTAGAAACTCACAGCCGGATGGTGACTCTATGGTAAGAACAGTGAAGCTGGTTTGACATCACTGCTATGCAAATGGTCTTTAGGGGGCATCAAATCATCCAGTTTTACTCTTTTTTTATTCTTTGTTTTAGACTTTCATCTCCATTAAATCTTATCTTTTATTCTACATTATAGATCTCCACTGATAAAGAGGTTATTGATCAGTGTCCCATTACATTATGTTAATTCATCCAAAGTGATGACCCAGTTTGAAGGTTAAGCATCTTGCCAAAGTATTCATCTAAATACAATGTGAAAGCTCAGGATTAAACCGGTGCCCCTTGAATGGAACATCGATCACTCTGGATGCCACATAACAAAAATGTCATATTTTCCTTGACTTGGGAATGGTTGACAAAATACATTTTTGGACCTATTTCTTCACTCATTTCCTGGTTTTCTTTTCTCTATGAATAATGAATTAACTTCAAACATGCAGTGTATAAACATACCAGCCCACATGACCAAGACTACCACAATTATGATCATCTCTCCTGTTTGCAGATGGCGAGACTTATCCAGGCCCTGCACAGTGGGGTCATCTAGGAGAGAGGACAGATGGCACAGTTGAAGCAATCAAAGCAGAACACTCCCAGACAACTAATTCATATTTTGTCTTTGCATTCTTCGTTTACATGGAATAACTAGTCTGAAACAAATTGGACATTAAAATACCAATCATGGAATGTCTTCTTCAAAGTTGAGATCACTACCTCAACAAAGTTTGTTGGTAATTTCATTTTAGCTCATATTGTACCTGTATGAATTGGGAAAAGTGATTTCTGTTCATATAGCTCATCCCTATAATAGTATTAGTAGTTTAGAAATGTGGAAGGTATTGCCACATTTCAAGCTTATGAAATTAATTCTCCTTTAAGTGGATTGACTATGGGCCCATTTCCACTCTCCCAACTATCACTTAACCCGCCTTGATGGAACTCTTCCAGAGCTCTACTTTTCCTAATTGCCTCCTTTGGTGAATCAACCTGTCAAAGAGCTGGTCCAAAGTGCCAGTCTGTCAGCTATTCTCACATAAAAGTAGTGAGAGGGTGTGGTCAATTGTGATGCCACAATCTCTCATAAGTATAGTAGTGTGGCTCTGTTAGCAGACAGAGCAAAGGAGTGGGGGTTTATCATAAAATAAGCACATTAATATGAGCAATACCATTGATCTAAGAATGCCAAGAAGCAATGTCAGCAATGTATGAGCAGCTCTAAGCCAAAACTGCCTGTCTGATTTACAAGTTGATGGAAAGATGGCAAAAGGAAGAACAGATCATATTTTGTTGTGTGCAGCTCGAGCACCACCAATAGGTCAACAAAAAGGTCACATCGGCAATTAACTCTGCTTCATGGCATTGACATCCAATTTTCACTATTGAAAAAGAGGGAAAAAGTCAAAATGGGGGTCTATGAAATAATCAAAATCATAGCCTTTTATCAAAATGTCCATCCAAGGTAATTTGCTGCAAACACGACTTCAGTTTAAAAACTAAAGGGGTGTTTCTGAATCAACAGAAGAGGTAATCACACTGCCCAATCGATGCATTGTGTATATGTTAGTGTGTTGGCACGTTTTGCCAATCATTAATTTATTTTGCTCATTTATGTTGTCATTTCTACTGTTGCCCTATTTAGGGAGATAAAATCATTTTTAGTGGCTAAATATACAAAACTAATTGCAATAAATGAATAACAAGCGGTAATGCAGTTATTCACCTGATTTAAAATTAGACGTTCACTCAAAAAACAGGAAATTTGACCATCTATTAGGTATTATTTATATTTGTATCTAAACAATAACAAAGTAGATCATTTGCATCTATAACATTCATATGTATTTTGAATAGTCTGTTAATACAATTTGTAACTACATCTTATTATGTCCTGTCTTGGTTGTTTCTATCCTATTATGTATAGAAAGCAACAGTGTTTCAGTTACTGAACAAGAGGAAAATTCTAACATAGCCTTGGATGTACACTTAACTCACATTTGATCATAATGAGATCATAAAAAAACAAGCATCTGGATTCTTCTTTTAGAACACACTTTAAAGTGCACCCTTACAATCACTTTCAAAGATGCTAGACTCAATACTACAACCAGATGCTCAGACAGTACTTCTGTAAACTAGTACCGGTATTCCTTTTCAGCCAGGCACAACTTCAGCTTTCCAAAATTATTATTTTTTCCTTTCAACAACTCCCACTATGTCTTTTCATTAATGTATTGGATTATTAATTCATCCTATGAATTTTTTGTGAATCCAAGTTGTGATAGTTTTGAGAATTAGACATTTTCTGCATGATCACACTGCTGTTTCATGCATCTTGCTTCTTGCCATCATTTTGTGAATTTGCATAAAGCAGAACAGGTAAAATGTTGTGCCGCTGGTACATCATAGAATTTGTGCTGAGATGAGTGAAGCTTCCTCCTGCTCTTTCCAGTCCCATGATGTTGACTGTGGGTTTGAACTGTGTCAGGGTACTGTGTGTAACAATACACTAGGGAATCTGCCTTGCTGTCACAGTGATGCCACATCTGATTGGCTCGAGACAAGGCACTTGTATTGTTGTGGGGTTTTTTTTTCAACTTCATTAAAATGTGACACATTGAAAATTGTCCCTTTCATAATTTGCATCCTTGAATATCAGAATAAATGCAAATGACATGTTTACTGTACTCAGTCATGTGATCATTCTGTTTAATTAGGTATGATATATTTCACACAGATAGGAGTAGAGCAGCAACATTTGACATGTGGCATAGCTTTACCTCGTTTTTTTGTGGGGGAGCCTTCTGTCTCAGATGAGAAAGCTTAGCATCTCTTTGAAGTATCATGCACTAATTGTGTCTTCGGAGACCGCCTACCTCATAAAGGTTGACTGCTTGAAAATATTACTTTTTTGGTCTTATCTGTGCTGTAGATCTAGTGCAAAGTTTTGGGAGGTATACTAGTGACAGTTTTATTTTTTAATTTGGGAATGATTTATCAATATTAATACTCCTAGTATTTTCTTTGTTAGTTATTTTGATGATATCTCTGCTCATGCTTGTAAATAATGCCTCAAAGCACACCAGATATGTACAAATGTCCAAATACGTACAAATTAGTTTAGTTTAAATGGAAAGCACTGCAATCTCTGTCATGGTCCAGGCACGCTAAAACCAATTAGATTATACAGGATTTTAACAGATGGTGTCAAGATTCTAAGAAAAAGCAAAAAAGCATGTCACATGGATTTAATGTACATGAAAACTGTTTATATACCCTTTTTAAAGCAGAAAGTAGAACTTTAAAAATCAACATATAACATCAATGCTAATATCAAAATCTAATTTTTAAAATAGTCTGATATTAAAAATGAATGCTTTGTGAAAAGCACAGTTGGGAATCATATTGGCTATTGCCTGAGTCTCTATAGTCATTGAGTCTTTATCTGAATCAGTGACAAACATATTACTTACATTCTTATAATCTACATATTAAAGGAATATTGTTACAGCTGTTAAGTGTATTCTTCACTCCAGTTAATTTGTGCGTTTTGTTGCATATTTTTGCATGCGAGTTGACACAGTTTAGGCTTAAGAAACCTGTTTAAATATGCAGCGACACAAAGCCAAACATTAAAACAGTTGTTTTGTCATAAAGTTCCCAAGAGTTACACAAACGAATTCGATTTGATTGAACTTAAAAACTAGGGCATGGGGAGTCAGCAGGGTTGGCATTAGATTTATGGAAAGCTGACACTGATTGCTGCAACCCACCAAAACAAACTCCTACAAATGAAGCTCATCCACTGAGTGGGCTGTTTTTCTGACCCAGTTGGATGACTTGGTGGTGATGCAACAAATCCTGATTAATGCTGCACACTAAATCTTGCCAGGAGTCGCTTCTGGTTGCAAGACTTTTCATATATAGCACTTTATCAAGATATATGGATGTTTACTTAGCTTTCTAAAAGGAGTTTCTTTTAACCTAAAAGTGTGACTGACTGATTTCCTGGATATTTTATGGAGAGCAACAGACAGTGGCCATAATGGACTGGCTTGCCTTCATTAGCTTAATGGATAATGCATAGACTCTTTGTTGCACAAGATTTTTTTTTCTTTCACTCTGGACTGTCTTGCCAACTTAACGGATGATATGTGACCTGAGTCAACCAAAGAGAAACATTTATGTTTTTCTTGAATCAGCACTTGCAGTTTTCGCAAGCTCAAACAGAAAATCAAATCAGCAAGAAAAAAAATCACTAATGTCACTAATATATCTCACCACAGTCAAATGCTGTGTCATTACCCTATGATTGAATATATTTGGCTCATAATATGAACACGATTCAACTAATGCAGAAAAGATTAATACAGTGCTTTTCTCTGAGAACTGGAAAATGTTTTACTACTCTTGATAAAAGGTTAAGGGTCTTCTCTTCATCTGGACCGAAAGAAAATTGAGCCTTAGTCTTTATATTTGCACCAATCTATGAGCTGAGTTCACACACTGAATTTTAAGTGTTCAAAAGCCAGTAGAGAGTAACTGAACATAAAGATGCAGAAATTTCGATAAGCTGGTCGTGTTGGTTGGGTCTGTCAATAATGTTTCGGGCCTTTTGAGAAAAACTCCAAGAAGCACACTTACTAACCCCACCTCACCCTCCTGCAATAAGTATGTGAGAAGATGCTCCAAAGTGCTTTCACTTATTGGTACTGGCCCATACTGTGTCTTATTTTCAACATCAGGATGCTTTAAAGGATTTGAGGGTCAGAGGAGGCTTTTCAGCTCAGCAGCATAAGAGAGTAGCTGTAATGGGTTGCTCCGGTCTTCGCTTTGGGAAAAGGGCCTCAGCAAATGATGCTGAATTTAAAGCAAAACCCTGTTATGTAACAATGTAGAAACTGACATTTGGTCACCTTAAAGCATATTCATGTTCATTTTCTAGAGTCTTTTGGGAAAGGCTTAAGAAACAATGGCAAACTAGAACATTTAATTGCATTTTAGATTTGATATCAAGTATTTGTGGAGCAAAGTCCATGGGATTGATAGTTCCTTGATGCTCTTCTTTCTTTTTCTTTTTAAGTTGCCTTAAAAAATGAAAACCAAAATATTTTTGGGCTAATTATCCTGCTGTATTGTGAATTGCTCTCTAGTAAGATGTAAACACCAATCATAATGTTGTTTTTTTCCTCAGAAGTTCTGTGGAGAGAGCAGCTCATTACAGTCCTCTGTAAATTGAACTTATTTTTATTAAGGTCTTGTTTCTCTGCTGGGCAAGCTTTGTATTCGCAGTCAAATAGCCCCTCACAGACTGCTTTCTTAGCTGGTTCTGTTGTAATATATGTTCTTGAATATTTTGTCTTCATTTTACATGCAGTGACATCAGATTCAAAAACTTTTTAAATTCCAGATTATCATTTTAAAAGATATATAATTTACATGTTTTTATCAGGGCATTATTCAAATGTGGGTGTTTAGACTACAATATCTACATTGTGGGTTACAAAGGATAAAAAATCAAGACAAAAATGTGTTTCTCCACTGCACTCAGTAGCACTCAGTCACTATGATCCATCCCAGGAGAGATTTGAACCCTTCTCAACTAAAAGCTTGTCACAGACTCAGTCAGCGCAGTAAGTACTCTATATTCCCCTTATACTCCTCCTTATAAGTCGCTTAGGATACAAGCATCTGCTCAATCAGTGTAATATAATAAGCAAATACAGAGAGCAAAGTTGTCTCATCTGTGTTGCTGCAGCTCCACTGTTGCTACTATGATAAACAGCTACTGTTCAGGGATTGTAGACGTTTCTGTGGGAAGTCTGCATGTCCTCCTCATGCATATGTTTGTTCTCTTTGGATACTTTGGCTTCCTCCCATTGTTTAGGTTAATTGCTGTCACTGAATTGTTCCTGCAAGTGAGTGCATAGTTGTTTTTCTATGTGATTGTCCAGGATGTATCCTGCCTGTTGACCAATGACAGCAGATATATATCCTACCACAGCCCGGCCGCAGCCATGAACTGGATAACAGGAGTATAGAAAATGGTTGGATGGATAATGCATTTCACAGCTCTTCTGGACTTCCTGATGGATTAACTGATAATGCACTTTACTCTGCCAGTGAAAACAGTGCCAGGTTTAACATGTCTTCCACCAACACTAAGATCAGGAATCACAGCAGGCACATTTAGAATAATCAATACTTTCTCTCTTAGTTTTTTAGGTTGCTTTTTGAGTTTGAGGGAATACATGTGCCGCTGAGGCAAAAAAAAGGGGGAAATCTTTGTTACCAGTTTATAATATTCTGCCACATCAATATCTTGAACAATAAATATCAGTTTTAATGTAATTTTTTCTGTCCCTATATTTAAGTGTGGGCCTTTTTTGCCTTTTGCTTTTTCACCATATCCAAAGGGTTTGGTTGGGGTCCAATGGAATGAACATGAGAAAAATGCATTGTAAAGATTCTGATGCTTCTCTGGTTTGCAATACGGTTTTTCACCAGAGTAGTGTGTATTTGTGGGCCCAGAACTAATATTCTTCTATCCTTCTCCTCACCTTTAAGTCATACTAATGATTGTACTGAGTGGTATATACTTTAACAGTAAAAGGCATTAAATGCAAACCCCATTGAAGGTTATTGTGATTTAGCATTGAGATTGTCATTGAACTTTTCATTTAATTGTAGAGTATTGTACCTTGGTTCGAGCTGTTGGAAGGGAAGCGGTCTGTCTTCTTGAGGGTTCGAAAATGGACTTTCTTGCTGGCTTGACTTTCCCCATAGAGGCCAATAGACTGGACCTGGATAATGTAGTCTGTCTCCTCCTCCAAATCCCACAGAACACAAGAGCGGCTTGTAGTATTGACCTCACGAATGAATCGCTGCATGTGTCCGTCCTGCCGCTGAGCATTGGAAAAGTGATCGAGAGCAAAAGAATAGATTGAACTATTGAATGCTTCTTGCAGGGATCAATAAAGAGGGCAATGAGGTGAGCAGGATGACCACACAGAAATACCACCACAGCAAAAAATGGGTCCCCAGGAAAAATATTGTCTTCTTTGGGAAGTGTCTTTGTTTAGTTTAATTAGTTTTGACAGGGCAATTTTGAAATCAATAATGTGTCACCCTGCAAAGTCGTGAAATGGCTGGAAACATGGACCTGCACAGGGAACTCGAAAAAGCATTCAGAGCTCTGTTGAACAACATGCTGGGTACTTTATTTTATTAACAGCAGGTATTTTGTCTTCGACATATGGGATCCTGACAAGGAATTGAAAAGTTGCTAAGTCAATCATTTGATTAATCTAGACTGCTAATACTTTGAGAGAAAAAATACATTAATCTTAGTCTTTTCTTTTGTCATTCACATCGTTGTAGGAGAAATGAAGACCCAAAGATATGAGATCTCCCCCTCCTGCTGATGTCAGAACTCTGTTCTTACTGCACACTCAAGTCCATCTGCACTTAGAGTGGCTGTGGGCCAAATGTCTTGTCATGTGTTTTTTATGACTTTACTTGTCTTAAAGGTCTGACAAACAGCATGTTCCTGTCTGTGAATAATGAATGATGTATTGATAAATATTTATATAAAACTTCTAAACTAAGAGGTGTTCAGGTCCAGTTACTTAACATGATGAGGGGAGACAGTGTTCAGTCAAATTAAATGAAAAGCAAATGGCTTCATAATGTTTTTTTTGCATGGTGCAGAAAATCGATTACAGTACAGCAGCATATTGCACTCAGTTACTCAGTGATGGCGTCATTGTTTTTCCTCCTTTGAGCTTTTTTCTAATCTTTTCATCCTAAAAAAACAGTTTGGCATGCTGACAAACTTATGAAGATTCATGCTGCATACCTGCTTTCTCTTAACTAATCATCCATGACCACTCACATCCTGGCTTCAGGCTTGCACGAGCCTCTTTCCATATGAAGCAATTTTTTAATCGGTTAACATGGTCCACTGCCTTTCAAAAACCATGACATGGTGGAAAGAAGATCATAGGATAACCGTCTCAGTCTACCTGTATTGATAGCATTCCAGCTGCCTCCATTCCAAACACCCAAATAGATCAAGTACAGAAAATAATGAATTGGAAGATGCCCTGCTACCCTTTCCAAAAATGGTCCTGGTTTACATATGTAGGTACGGATTTACCTGCTGTGAGATGGAGAAGCCAATTATTATGTCTCCTTCTGGAACCTCCCAGGACACAGTCGCCGAATCAGCTCGCAGGTGCATGACAGACACGTTGACAGGAACTGCTGGCCTGTCTGGTGAATAGTAAACAGTATGTGTGTTTGAATAAAAGAGGCACAGAAATTAGAATTCTGTTCATCCAGTCCCATTTCTTGTTGCTTCTGGGTTAAATCACTGCCATCTGTGAAATGTAAGAGTCATGTTTTAGAAAACTTAGGTGAACATTTTGATTTATTATAGAACTGCAGCAATCTGTGTAACCATAACTGCTCTTCTCTACTTTTGTGACTTGATCACTCAGAATCTTTGCTTGTGTCGTCAGAGATAAATTGTGTGTTATTTTCAGTTTATGTAGGGATGAATTATGTACTAAAAATCAAGTATATTTATAAGAACAATTAACAATAAACAACACACTACCAAAGATCAGTCCTCAAGCTCTGTGGGCTCAGTGAAATTACACATTTGTAGCACTCCGACTCTGCTATGACCAAAACAGCTCTATGCTGAACTTGAAAATGTCCTTCGCAGACAAAGTATTCATTAAAGCTTTACATGTGGAGTTATTACAGCATTTAGACTGTGGTTTTGATAGGACTCAACTGAAATCAGCATGCTGCTGTGTCATCTTCTCAGCATTTATAAAAAAAACTTTATTCTGCACTTAGCACATTTGATAAACAGCTTGATATACATAATTAGTCTTTGGCGAGGATGATGAACTTGTGTCTTTTTATTTTACTGCAGACACAAAGAATTGAAAGTATTTCCAACCTAAACCTCCAGACGTCCCTCTGTGATAACCTGACTGACTGGCTTTTCATGTTTATTTCATGTGCATCTCTCTTAGACAAGGTGACAACCCCCTCAACCTGTTTTTAAAAAACTTTTCAGTCCCCTATGATGGTTTGTTGCCGGCAAACATGCTTTTTGGAGAGTGAGAACAAAAGCCTTGGAAGCATAAAGGCAAGAGAAGGAGAAGGGTGTCTGTAATAGAGGAGTCTGTATAGCAACACAGCGTCCAAGCAATCTCCTGAGTCAGATAGGATTTGCAAAAAAATCCTTTTTAAGGTCTTTTGATAGCGTATACTTAGTGGCTTTGTGGTCGATTTGTGTTACAGTGTGGCTGATTTTTTGTGGGGAAGTTCCATGGATAAAAACATAGCAAATTATGGTATGGTAAGTAATCTCATGTTATTTTAAATGAAAACGTAACATATAGCAATTGTTTAAGTTAATTTGTGTTGATGTGGCCATTGATTTTATAGTTTCCCTTACTTAAATGGAAGTAGAATTCTTAGTTACACCTGCCTCTCTCTGTCGGTTTATATGAGTATTAAGATGTGTGGTTAGTTTGCTGTGTTTTAAACATTAAAATCTCCCCTGGTTTAATGAAAAAGCAATGATACATCTGATATAGAATCACAGCCAAAACGTTAGCTGTACAAGAGATATTTCACCCAAAACATGCACTTGAGAGGCATGATAAAAAGATAAAATTATAATGGAGAGCAAGTGAGCAAGTGAGAGACAAAAAAATCTGAATAATTGCTGCTCTCCTCATTCAGTCCTCTTAAAGATTTCTTCTTATCCTCATACATCTGCACTTTTATTCCACCCTCTACTTTGTCATTTGCTCCTTGCGCTTCTGTCAATTTTATCTTGGAGACAATCGTGATGGCCTGTGTGTTTGGCACAGAGGGGTGACGATGGCACAGACCTTCTAGCCAGGCAAGGCAATCAGTATCCCTCTGATCTGAGACAAAGGAGGTTGGGGTCAATCAAGCATGACGCTTGGTTCGCCTGGCTCATGACACACTCAGAGATTGGTTTGTGGTGAGAAGTGAATGAGCTGAACAAGAGGCCAACCCGATTCTTTGGGAAGCGTGAGAGGAAATTAATGTTCCATGGAGATAGTTGGAAGCAAGTGGGCTGGGCTAGCACTAAGACTGCTATCAAAAGCTAACGAGTTTTGTCTGTCATCTTGTTCAATTAATCCAAGGTTACTGTGTTAATGCAGCAATTTCAGTGTTGCAGACACCGAATGCACAGTTGGCAAAGATGGAGAGAGAGTGGTAAAATATAGAAAATATATATTAAGTATAAGCTGTCTTTGAAAAAAAAACCTTTTAGACTATGGCCGCCATCACATGTGTTATCAGTATTACTCTAAGTACAGAAATTTCCAAGAAATGAAAATTAGAACTTGGACCACGTGAAGATTATTTTCTTCTGTAGACCATTACTTTAATGTCTGTCCCCTTTGTTTAATTGGGTTCATTTGGGTTAAACTGCTCTCAGGATTTTTATACTTTTACAGCATTACATTTTTGCTGCCACATGATTACCATAGCACATATTGCAGACATATTGGGCACATTTGTTTGTTTAATAAGAACATTTATTTCTCAGCTGTGTACAAGCACACAGCATCAAGCCATAATTACCATCAGCTCTTGTTCAACATGAAGCCGCTCTCAGAGACAGGTTTTACATTCATCTTAGAATGGACACATTCATTTCTGTTGAAGCTTGTTGTCCTTTAGGTAATGAGGGTTGCAGACAGCATGGGCACAAACTCTGTCACTATTCATGAGGCATAGCCTGCGGATCATTTACAGGTGATAGAGGGAGTGACAGCTCAGTTGAAGCAAGCCATAAATCATTCCTAATGTGTAAATGCCCTCTTTCTATATGATGCCGTTTCCATTACGGGCGGTTGAACGAGGCCACTTTATGTTCAACTCGAAGAACAAGGAAATGTTTTTCTCTCCAAAAAAATGATGCTCTAAAACAGTTTATACATCTGAAGTCCTAATTTCCACCTCTTTTCCTGGTGTTGCCCGACTGATCATTTGATGTTTTCAACAGCAGTTATAATTGTCGTTTTAAATATAGTTTTTCTGTCTGTCACTGACTAAGCGCAGCTTTGTAATATCTTAAATTAAACAGCAATAAGTCACAGAGGGAGATGTGTGCAAATAAAAGGTTAGACCCTATTGGGATGTGGGAGCACTGCCACAGGATCCATAGCACGTGCACAAAGAGAAATGTTGAAAGTGCAGCTGGATCTCTGAAAAGCTGCTCATCTATGTGGAAATGGACGCACATCAGATTCATCAGGGCCAGATATAAGGATAAATCATCTTCCATTGTGATCTCTATATTGCTTGCAAAGCTCAGTTGCCTGTTAGTGTATTGGCTGTGTTTGCATTCACACCAAGAGTGACTGAAGATGTTGTTTACGGTCTGACAATAAATGTTTTGATTTAATGCAATAAGACAGCCTGGATAGCTTTTAGTCAAAGACTACCCTGAAGAAAAATGATTAAAGAGAAATTTTAAAATGAGACATGAAGAGGAAAATTGGAGATTAGATTCCATATTAGATTGATTTGGAGTGCAATTTGACAGGTTACATGCTACCTTTATTTAATTATTCCATAGAGCTATTTCTGTGTTTATTTTTCTATTTGTGTTACTGCTTCTTGTACTGAAGATAGGGTATGCATAGTCACATAAAAACGTCTCCAATGGCTCTCTAAATTCAGGTTTAAATGACAGAATGCCATTCCTTAAAACATGTCAGTGTTTGCGGATGGATGGAATCTGGCCGCTAAACACAATGTAGTTCCATGTTTTCTAAAGAGGAGTGACTTTTTAGTCTTGCTGTAAACATCCACAGTGGGTGTTTCCTGGTCACACAGACGTCAAACATAGACACCATGAAGCATGATGTCACACATGATTTAAAATTCCTGTCTCTATGCCCATTGTGTGACATGTGAGGGTGTGTTTAAAATAGAACGCATGTGACAACACTTTAAATTATGACACCATCAGCAAATATTGGCTATCATTCTGATGGATTCAGCTCTCATACAGAACCGGTATTTGTCAAGAACGTGTCACCGTGTTGATGAACAGCAGATTGCCAATTTGATTTGAGCCTGGTCATCCAATAAATCTTAATTCTCATTTGTTTTATGTCTCAAGATCTGGCTAAGCCTCATGTGGAATTTATTTTATGGCCTGCTTGTTTTTATACCGTGTCTAAGCATGCATATGTCAACTGAAGTATCAGCTCTCAACTTGTGCTCATAAAATAAAGCCTGTGTGTTGACTGGCAATGAAAACTCTGGAACAAATGCCATGTCCGCGTGTGTTCTGCAGACATGCCATTTTACACATGCATATTTAAAGCAGATTACTTTGTGATTGCTTAATGAATTATGTGAAAACGACGGACCTAATTTCATTGGCTGAGATTAAAGAAAAGCAGTCCAAACAATGTGATTTATCTTCAGTACATGATTTTAATAACCCTTTAAAATCATTTATGCAGATTCCACTGATAGCCCTTGCTAAAATGCTCCCTGTTCTCTTGCTGTATGAATACAATTTACTTTGTGATTAAGCCAAGAGCAACAGGGTTAATTTAGACTTCCCTCTGAAAGGCTTGTCATAGTGGGTCTCATGTCTGCTGGCATGCAAGAGGCCTGATAGTAATTAATTCGTTATTTATTGCATTTACTTTGATCCTGGTTGCAACAGACACATCTATATTCACGAGTGCCATGCACATTGTTTAAACAGAAGTTTAATTTTCCCTACACCATATAGATCAGAGGTATCTCTTATGCATCACGTTGGCACAAAACATTACAAATCTTAATACGTGTAGAGACAGGCAGTACGCACCCCCACAGAAATAGTGAATGCCACTCTCTGAAGGCAAAATGTATCAAATATAGGTCTCAGTTCTGTTGCAAACCGAAGGAGGAGGTGAAAGAAGCAGACAAATAGATACAGACACTGAGACACTGTTGATTCGAGCACACAGATACACAGGACATTTTTGTGACCAATATCTAAGTGTAATAAATAGCAGCAATGAGGCAAATGATGCAGTAAAAATAATGCAACGGCTGTAAATGAGCTGACAAATTATTTGGAGTGTTGGGTCTGCAACTAGTGTTTCCAGATTTAGTCAATGTGTCTGTTTCTGGGTAATTAGGTTAATTCAGCCTGACAGTACAGGACAAGCCTAAGCACCAGAATATTAAAAATAAATTAATATCTAAGTCTTATTTGATGTGTTTGAGTAGGTGTTGGCTAATTTGCTTTAAGTGTTTCTTTAAAACCTTCAGCTTTAATAATGGTGTAGTTTGCAAGGCTTCAAAAATCACAGTAACCAGGCTCCTTTGCTCATACTCACTTGCTCCTACCAAGAACACGTCGCTGCCAAAAAGCAACAGGACCACGGAGTTGACCAAAACTAGCAGATGAGCCATGCCTTGGAGGATGTGGTTGCTTTTCTTCCACTACGAAAAGGCTATTTTTTCTACTATTGCAGGGTAACTGATATCAGCAGTTCATCTTGTCTTCATAACGTCCGATACCTCCTCCGTGGATGAGTGAATGGACGAATACTGTCCGAATATGTCTCGGTTTGGTCAGTAAGCAGATGGCCTGTAAAAGTACTTAACAAAGGATGTCTTCCGAAACATTTTCAAGCGCCTCGGGGGTTTACTCGGCGTTTAATTCCGCGAGTCCTCCATCCATGATCTCATGCAAACTGACGTACGACTAAATCTGGAGTCTGAAACTGTGGAATCCGTCATCCTGAGGACCATCGATCATCGGCAGGCTCAGGTGCGATCAGGTCCGCGGGGGGGAAAAAATTGTGTTCCCGGCGTCCCTGCTCGGCTTTTAAAAGGACGCAGAGGGGCGATTCAGCACCATGGTCAGCGCACAAGTTTTCAGACTGCCCTCTGGCTCTGCGGCTCGTCTTTACGGCTGAACTTATCCATTCAACCAAGCAGCGTTTGCTCGTCCTGCCGTCCTTCCAGCAAACCGACAAGCCAATAAGACCCCCAGGATCCTAACTAATGTACACGCAGCATACACTGATCAATCCTCCACGTGTCATCAGAGGAGAGAGCAGGGACACGCCCACCTGAGCTGCAGCCACCCCTCACACTGCAGCCTGCCCTTCCAGCTGCTTTAATATTTCAGAGGCAATATCAGGCTGATATTTACAGCTATAGGTCGAGGGGTGTTGTATGTCATTTGGCATGCGAGAGAGGCAGCATGTGTCACACATATTCTGCTATATGTCAGTGAACGAGATTAGACATTTAACAGATCCATCTTGTCCAAGCGCTTCATTCAAGAAACTAGAGATGATAAATGATGAATAAAAAGCACAGGGAGCTTCATTCTGCAATCCCCAGTGTTCTGTCTGTACCAGCAGCACAGGTCGATGCGCCTCTCACCCTTCATACACTGCACAGGGCCCTAAGACACACCACACAATCAGGAAGATGAATCGCGCTGATAAACTGAGTGCATTGCCTCATGGGACAAACGTTTCAAGGCAGATTGCTCGTCTGTATAGAATCTGCCTGCCTAGAGAAGAAGTGATTAAATGTAGCAGAAATATAAAAAGGCAAAAGCTGCACTCAGTTACCTTTGCAAAACTTCTTATTTCTATAATCTTCACCCGAAATACATGTTTTACTGGCCGAGAAATTGTGTCTTTCTTCTCTCTTTCTCAGTCTTTTTAGTTACTCACAAAGTTTTGTTTGTACTTCATGAGCCACGACAGACAGATGCATTTGAGGGAAAAATTGTACAGGAAGAAAAATAGACTTTTAAACAAGATGTTGGTGGTAGTGCTGTTGCCATGACAGCAGTCGACTTGAAGCTGACATTTCCATGGCATTTATCACAAAGTGAGATTTTCCTTGATAACAGTACAGATATGTGAGAATATTTTTGGCCAGCAGAGGCCAAAGATCTATTCTGTTTTTCTGTTAGCAGTGTCCTTGACTAAAAGTCCACATGAAATTCGATAAATAATTGCAAAAATGAGGCTCCTTTGAAATAACTGATTTTCAATCCAGTTCTTTATTGAGTTTAACTGTAATGTCAGATCAGATTACTTTTTCTTTTTGGTTTTGTGCTATTTTTCAAGTTACCTTTTCTATTCTCACAACTATGCTTTCACAGGTTGAATCTCCAGTTCCAGTAATCCTGATTTTGTATCACATGATAATCCATTAGTAACTTTTTTGTAGTTCTAATATCATGATCCACTTAAAAAAAAAACTTGACAAAGCTGATAGAAACTCAAATGCAATGCTATTAGTTTTGATCTGCAGAAATAAAGTAGGGCTGACAGTAAAATGTGCGTCTCCACTGCACTATTCTGACCTTGAAATGCAGACTTTATCGCCTGTTAATTACGAAGCAGCAATCATTCCATGACTGTTTCACATTTTCCTGTGTGACTGAGCAGCCTTTGAAAAAAAACAAGTCAGAACCATACATTACAGTAAAAATACATTTGACTTATTCATTACCGTTAATAGAATCATGTGGTTTCGTAACAAGCATTTTGAATACAACTAGTGACAGAACAGGAGAAGCAGAAGGTGACTTTCAACAATGATCTTTTGAGTACTGTGTTTCCTTCCACTTTTACTCAGCATTCTTGTGTAGTTTCTAAACTTTCCCTAAAGATCCAGGGGCCCAGGGTTAAAGGTCACCAGATTAGTTTCACCTGGCATGAGGTAGACTTGAAATGTTAATTGCTTTGGATTTAGCGCCCAGTGAAAGACCTTTATAACTAACCAGAGCGGGCTGGAAGCAGGGATTTAACAAGCGAAACAGAGTCTTTATAGATCATTTTATCCAGCCTGGCGATGACTCTCAAATACTTATGGTGTAAATTTAAAACGTGCCATTTTGGATGATGCAATCCCAAGTGCAACGTTTTTTGGCTCAAAGCTTTTACACAATGTATTAATCACCATTAGTGAAATTACTCCATCAAAGCTCTCCATACAATATAGAGCCACTGTTTGTGGGCCCCCTTAATACTAACAAGTTTTCTTCTGTTCTCATTTTATAAAATCAGGTTTAGGTTATCTTTTCTAATAGACTTAGTGGGTGAATGAAACCACACACTGCTTGAAGGCATATACTTATGTCTCTCTATATATATACTGTAAAGGGGTGAAAGGCATCGCCAAAGCAAAACTCTCTTCTGAACTGTCACTTCAACCACACCGTGATCCCCTTTTAGAGCCGATGTGAGCATGGCACCACACTTTAACTTTTGCATTACATTCTTTTCACTGCCACTAACCATAAAACCAGACAGAAAGGTAGCCTAATGCAAGAGATTTTCATCCAAGGTCAAAGGGGATATTTGGATTAATTACATAAACCCGTGGGAGAGCCAATATACGGACAGTAGGGATTTGGAAATAGACAGGAGTACAACATTGCATACTGATCAGGGAGGAGGAGCTGTTTATTGGCAAGCTAACAAAACTTATATTAGATGCAAGATGTGGTATATAAGTCTGCAGCTGAAAGGGTTGTGATATGTTTAATCTAGTCCCTTCAGCTGAGAGAAAGATGATCCTTCTCATATCTGAATTACAGTCATTCTGATTATTTTTAAGTGACTGTTCGTATATGTCTCACAACTACCCCGCGATACCAACAGCACAGGCAAAATGTTTGTCAGAGCACTAAATTGTGTAGAGCAGCAGTATCTCTTAAAAAAAAAATTCTGCACCAGCGCACATATGATAATTAAATGTTCCTGTAGTTACCGGTGCCCTTGACTCATCATTGAGCAGCCATGATGGTCAATTATGAGAGACAAAGAGAGAATGTGGTGGTGGGGGGGGGGTCTTACCATCTTAAGTTTTTTTTCTTCACAATCTAACAAAATTATGTTCACTTCATATACCAAGTGAAAGTAAAGATCTAGCTAATTGATTTCTTTGTCCCTCCCAATCAACACAAAGGGAGGAAGCAGATGTTAATATATTTCTTTTGCATTGACCACATAAAAGCAAATTCAATTAACCTTAGTGGTCTTTGGAGAAAGTTTAATTTCGGTTTTAAAAAAGTGGTCAGCTGTTGTAGAATTTAATTAGCCTTAAACATATACTGAATAAAACATGGCTTTCCCCATCTCTTTTTTCAAGCACGTGGGACAGAATGTATGAGAACAACACTAACTAGGTTTGTTTGGTTTGGTTTTTCAATTTGACGGGCTTTGCAAGATAATGTATTTTAGTATTGTTTCATACATTCTATCTTAATGCATGTTTTACTCAGTGTTTTGCAGACATCTCCAGTCTCTCTGTCATTCTGTCAAGAATCCTCATGTCCACTGGTCCACAGACTAGTGATTGATGGACTACATTAATTCAATGACATCAAAGCCCAGGAGACAAAGCATGTTTATGTGAAACATAATGCAAAATTAACACAATTGGAAACATTATTGGAAGATGAAAGCCCATCTCTTTTTCATCTGTGGTGACACATTTGTTTTTATCCCAGCAGACAGAGCAGGGTTACCCTCAACAAATGCTAATGATGTGTTGCCTTCTGCAGGGATCAGTCATTAATCAGAAGGCGAGTCATCATCATTTGTTCAAGGCGGTAGAGATGCACACAGGAAGGAAAGAGGATGGGTTGGCCTTTCAACCTTTGCCACACGGGTTTCATTATCTTTTGCTGACATCATGGCACATCTCATGTCAAACGCTAAGGTCAGTGTGGGACATTTAGGCCTGGCAGACAGTTGATGACATTATCTGCATCTTCGGAACTATTAAACGGTAATATATATAGTTATGTCATAATATTTGTTTCGACCTGTGCTGGACTAAATAATGAACAGACTTACATTGGAAAAAACAGAAATCATTAATCATGCTTTATGATTTCATACATATTTTTACTTTAAGTTTATCATTTCAGGAAAACTTGTCCTTCCACCCACAACAGCAGCGTCTCATTTTGCAGTTGAACATGTTTGGTTCACTTGAGCTGCAGGATTATATGTTGTGTGACACTGACCTCTGCAGGATAGCAATGGTATTAATATAAACTCTGAATTTATTTCATAATATTTGCATTTGTATATCTCTCTACTTGAACCATCTAATGATGAGCATTAATTAATTTCCATTAAGGCAACCTTATATTTTCATTTCATAATTGATGAGAGGCAATCAATCTGAGGCAATTGTTGCCTGTCTCGTAGGAAAGTTTGATGGTAATTGAGGAAGATCCTGTGGTTCTTATATCACAAAGACTTGCTATTAATGGAATTAAGGTTTCAAAGAGGAAGTCAAACCGTCTTTCCTGGAGTTAAGACAAAAGTCAAAATGATTTTTTTTTCTTTTGCTGATGTTGTTGAAAAACCTCCCTAAATAGCAATCGTACAATTAACACTTTGTGTGAAGCCTAAATGCTTTGATAATAGGTCTGTATGCTATTAGTTATCGATGTTGAGTTGATATTTTAAACTATTCTAGTTGCTACTGTCCAGGGTGTACCCCGCCTTTTGCCCAGTGAATACTGGGGTAGGCTCCAGTCCCCCCGTGACCACATTTGGGAATAAGAGGTTCAGAAAATGGATGGATGGATTCTAGTTGCTATCCTGGGTTGAAATTTAATAAAGGAACATTTACATTTTACAGGTGTTCTGTTGATAGCAAATCCAAAAAGAAAAATTCTAAGACCGCAGCTGCTTTGTCATGTAATGGCCATCCGTCTGTGTGGTATTTCAAGAATGCTGACTAACACTTCCTGTTTCCTGTTCATTCAGGAAATGGCAGGGTTTTTAACCCCTGGCTGTTGTGGCCTCTCCACTCTCTTATCTTCAAAATACCATCTGTGCCCCTTTGGGTGGTTTTAGTTAGGGGAAGAAAACCCCTGCAATTTAATACAGTGACCTGCTATTGAATATATCCTGCAGATCACAGTTGTAAAGCTCTCTGAAATACAGAACTGAGGTAAGTCTGAGACCATTTTAGTGTCACCCCATGTTATTCATTCCTTGCTGATCCTTCCTTTCTGTATCATATCTAGGTCAAAACTATATTTAATAATCAAACCCAACATGTGGTATGTGAACCAGTGCAAAAGTGATTATTATCTCTGTGTGGGACGTCTTTTTGTCAAAATCTCTCCTCTTTGAAACCTTTCATTCAAATAAAATCAGCTTTTTCGCAAATAAATTGAATACAAAGTAAAGTTTTTCTGTGAAAAGGTCAGGCTTTTGTGGCACATTTAGCAATGGATAGCTGAACAGCCCAAGTTCTAATCAATAGCAATATTTTATTTAAAATGGGAAACATTTTTCTACTGAATTAATAAAAAAGTGCAAAGTATTGAACACATAATCTCAGGCTGTCCATTTCTGTACCATGCAACTATTTAAACTCCGCCAATGTCCATGTCCAAAAACTGTTTAAGATCACGACTACATTGTATTTGAATATCTATTGTCATATGAACCATGATTACCAGTCCTGTTGATGCTTTCTTATACTCCATGGCTTCAGTCAATAGCACGAGGCAACATTACTTCTGGCAAAGTCATCATAAAGCCGCAGCATTGAGAACTCTGACCTTCCTATGTTTCAGACGCTCATCTCAGCTGCAGTCAGATCAAGCCATAAATAACTTTACATTCACTCAGAGCGGGGAAAGTTTCACCACCTGAACTGTTAAAAAGGTGATTTTTTCAGTAATAAAGATGATTGTTGCTCGATCCTCTGACCGTTCCGGTTTGACATATTTCTTTGCATCAATCATTTTGTCGCTCTCTTCTTTAAGTTATGGCTGCATCTCATATTGTCCCTCTGTGGCAATGAAGAAGTCATTCAGAGTGTTCTGCAGATGTTCAAAAGTTGGCCGGTTGTCAGGCTTTTCCTTCCAGCACATCATCATGACGTCATAGAGCTCCTCAGGACAGCCCTCAGGCTTCGGCATCCTGTACGACCTGTCCAGGCACCTGATCACTTCTGGGTTGGTCATTCCTGATCAGGAAAAAAGGACTTGTTTTGACTTGAACTTGAAAAGAACATTACCACTTGAAGCTGACTAATCTTTCTCAGAACAATAATCTTCCTGCAGAACGTTTACACATAATTTTGTAAGGGATTCTCCTTTCTTGTACCTGGGTATGGTATTCTTCCGAAGGTGACTATTTCTGTCAGCAAGATCCCAAATGACCAGACATCTGATTTGATGCTGAATGTGCCAAAATTGATGGCCTCTGGAGCTGTCCATTTAATAGGAAATTTTGCACCTGGTTTCAGTGAGAAAAAGAAAAAAATGGAGGCATGAGTGCAATGGTGTGTACTAACGCTTACTATTGCAATGATTTCTTGTGGGAAGCGAAAACAACCCAGCCAGTGTGGTTTTAGTGAACCATAACACAATATGATTTTTTTTGTCTTAATTATGAGTTTCCTTATCGTACGTCTTCTTATTCTCTCTCCTTTGATTATTGGTACCACAGATATTAATATCTTTACTGTTATTATTGTTATGATCATTTTTTATGTATTACCTTTACCATGAAAATTACATTTTGAAAAAGAAAAAAAAGGAAATGCCTTCAGACATAGAAAACAAGTGATTCACAAGTCTTTGTACATTCACAGAGAATTTCTGATGGAGAAATTGTGACTATTTTGTTGTGAGTGATTCAATGCAAAAAGAGTGCTGACAATAGTGTTGGTTTTACACATTTTTGCATCAATCTTCATCAATATTTCTTTAAAGGAATATATTTTACTTTATAATATATCATGATGGCCAGTCATAAAAGAAAATACATCTTAGATATTAATGTTAAAATTAACAGAAAATTGATTAATTAATCACAGGATTATCCATAGTTAACTGCAATGATTATGATTAATCATCATTAATAGCTGTATGATCCCTCTTATATATTTATTCTATATGTACCTTAAATCGATACTTCCTATTATCAAAACGGGAGTTGACAATTCTACTTGCTTTGCCCATACTTTACCTTCATGTGCTGTATATTCAGTCTCGATGACTCTGGCCAGGCCAAAGTCAGCTATCTTGCAGTGGAGCATCTCGTTTACTAGTATATTGGCTGCCCGCAGGTCACGGTGGATATAATTATTCTTTTCAATATATGCCATGCCTTCAGCAATCTATCAAATAGAGGAAGTAAAAAGACAATATGTTGGAAATTCAGTCAAATATAAAACATTTTTACACAGTTTTTAGGTTTTATACAATTAAACATCACATTCAATACATGAATTAGGTTTTGTACAGTTGTTTCCCAACTGTTGCTGTTGCAGTGTGCAGACACACGTGAATGCTTTGTTAATATGAAGCATAATGGCTGCAAAGGGGGTTTAACAGGATGTACCAGCTATCAGGAAGTTGAAAGTGTTTCAGAGGGGTACAAGAGTTCTGGGGGAACTCAGTGTGGATGGAAAAATAGCATGACTTCCTGTCCGGAAGTTAATTATTGACGTAGGGCGAGGCTTTCAAGCCGGTTGAGCAAAACCCCACCACAGAAACCACAGAGCTTCTTCTGACAGTTTCCATGTGTACTCAGATCCTGGCTGATGCCACAGAGCATGCTACATGAGACATTCAAACTACTGTACAGTATCTAGTGTCTATAAATAGACTTTGAGGTCAGCAATAATACCAATGTTTGTGTTAGTTTTGTGATACATCATGAAAATAATATTTCCATCGTATTGTCTTATTATGGCGGCACGGTGGTGTGGTGGTTAGCACTGTCGCCTCCCAGCAAGAGGGTTCTGGGTTCGAATCCCGGGGGAACCAGGACCTTTCTGGATGGAGTTTGCATGTTCTCCCTGTGTCTGCGTGGGTTCTCTCCGGGTTCTCCGGCTTCCTCCCACAGTCCAAAAACCTGCATGTTAGGCTGATTGGAGATTGGGGAAATTGCCCTTAGGAGTGAATGTGAGTGTGAGTGGTTGTTTGTCCTTGTATGTCTCTGTGTGGCCCTGCGATGGACTGGCGGACTGTCCAGGGTGTACCCTGCCTCTCGCCCGTTGACCACTGGGATAGGCTCCAGTTCCCCCCGCGACCCCATGAGGGAATAAGCGGTATTGTTAATGGATGGATGGATGGATGGATATTGTCTTATTATTAAATTCAGAGGAAGAGCGGAAGATGGAGGAAAGAGTAATTACAGAGACACATGGAGGGAAAAAATATAATCAGTGACTAATTTTATCTGTAATCAATCTTTGCTTACACAGTGGTGTAGGTTATCATTGGATGGAAAATGTCACTTGTAAGTTTTACATATGAGATTCTTTGATAAAATCGATTTCCCACCTGTGCTGACATGTCGATCAACTTATTCATTGTGAGCTTTTTCCCTTCAACTGTTTTTAGAAAGTCAAGAAGAGATCCTGCAAGTAAGAAAAGAGCCACATGAGTCTCAGTGAAGAAGACGACGGTCAAGGCAGCGTTTTAAAGGTCAATAGTGTTTCATAATAACTTCGTGATCCTGATTTCTCATTATGCGATAAACATAGCGACCAAATTTTATGTTCCTGTTCAATTGATACATCATTTAAAATACCATGTTATGAAAAGGTTTGCTGTTTATCATTTTTCAATCTAGTTTTTCCATTCGTCGATCTATACAGCGATGCCTGTCGGCACAGAACCAACCAATCAAAAATACAATATTTCTCACTGCACCATGTTTTATTGATGAAGAACATATGTAATTTAACTCTACATAGTGATGGGGTACAATAAATCTGCTTGGTAGGTGGTTAAGCAGAGAGCAGGGTTGTGTATCTGTTTTATTGTTTGAGTGTAAATTAAATTTAAAAAAATGACGCCATAAATCAGCATTCAAAGATTCATGCTGTCGGTTTCAAATATTGTCTGTAGTCATTTGTTCGCTTCACTGCCGAAGTTAATTCAGAATCAGAGTCATATGTGTTAATTTAAAGGAATGATTTTGTATATTTGGAAAATTAACCTTCACACACTGTGAATACAAATGATTTGTTAAGTCATCACAACCAAGTGCTTCAGATTTAATCGTCCATGAGCCGAAGCCCATTTTGCAGCTGCTTACCGTTGATCATGAACTCAGTCACGATGAGAATGGGCTCCTTAGTGACAACAGCATGGAGTCGTACCAGTCGCTCATGCTTCAACTGCTTCATCAGGTTGGCTTCCTGAAGGAAGGCTTCAGGCTCCATCGTTCCCTCCTTTAAGGTCTTGATAGCAACCTTCTTGGTGTTCTTGTAGTAACCTGTGATAAGAGGTTCAAATAGGATGCTTACTGTTTAGTATTTTTTGCTTTTGTAAAGTGTATCACGCATCAACAAGTGCCTTTTTCTTACCCATCCACACTTCTCCAAACTGCCCGGCCCCCAGTTTCTTCACCATTTTCAGCGTCTCTCGTGGAATCTCCCATTCATCCTGGGCCCATGGCTGCTGAGGCGTCTTCCCCTTACAAGGAGCGTACAGGCGCTGACACAACCCGTCTGCTGTCTCTGCACCCAAACGGGATGGATTCACTTGAAACTTTTTTCTGTTCTATATTTGTGCTCAATTTCGCATCTAAAAAAAAACACAGCTCATGTTTCAAATATCAGTCTTGAAAGCAGCATTGAAAATGCTCGTTTGCTCACCTTTCACATATTTTGCTGCAGCAATCAATTATATTTAGCCGTTTTATGTTGTGGTTCAGTTACACTTGTTTTACACAGGAAATGCTAAATTTATGCCAGATGTCTAACTTCCCCTTCAAAAACAAACCCAGTAAACATGTCCAATCATTCAGAGCAGTGATATGAATTAGACCCCAAATCAATGCAATGATATGACTGATAAGCCCATCAAGAAGAAGCTAATTGGTATCGACCTGCTTCTCTTTTAAGATTTAACTCTGAAATGAAAATAAAAAGCATGCATGTATTCTTGTTTAATACTTACGGCTGTAGTATTTGACCAGCTCCTGAAGTGATGGGAAGGGGTTGGAAGGGGAGATGTAGAAACCACCTTTGTCTAAACAACGGATCTTGTAGTGTTTTACTACATCTCCTTGTTCGCGATCATTGTCTCTGACTGACAGGGAGAAGGACCCTAAGCAAGGATGAAAGCTGTCACGCACTGGGTTTAATTTGTGCTTGCGCAGCATTCACAGTTTATTACTGGACATTTTTGCAGGTTTCTGAAGAGGACACTCAAGTTCTGACTTTCAGAAAGGGTCCTACCTTTCGATGTCTCACTCTCTCGAACAAGAAATGTGCCTGGTTTATTTCCAGGGGCTAAAAGAAGCCGCTCTGTTTCCTTTCTACTTAAATCTTTGAAAAACCATCTGCAAAAGAGATGAAAAACATGTTAAATTTTACTGCTACAAAATACAACATTTCTGTCACATAGAAGAATAATAAACACATGGTTTCTGTATTTTTTTTTTTAATTCAATAATATGTTGTGCGTGTCAAACTTTTCTTACTTCTCCACCTCCAGGGAGTCTGCTCTGGCAACAAAGTTAGATGGTATTAAACCCTCATTTCCAGTGATCAGTGATTTAGCCAGCCACCATTCTCCATCCCTACAAACAAGACAAACATCTCAGATCAATTTGCTTCTCCGGTTTAAAGGCTCTGAATAATTTCATAACAGTCCACACCAGGACGGCACTTACTCATGCAGAACTTTGAGCTTGTCACCCTTTTTGAATGACAGATCATTGTTGGTCGTTGCTTTGAAGTCATGTTGTGCCACGAACACGGTCTCATCTAAAGAAATATTATTAGCATGTTTCATTACATTATAATTACTTTTCGGCCTGAGTCTCCCTTTCATTACACCGTATTCCTACCTAACACCTAACACTGTACCAAATTTTCCTGACATGTTTTGAACCCAAGAATTTTAATCCTTAACGGTGCCATTAAGTTAAAAAGACTTCTGTTTATATCAAGCTTATCTTATCCCCCGAAGAGCACAGAGGAAATTCAGCTGAGATTCCAATCGCAAAGTGTGGTTTCATCTTGCTTCTGCTTATATCTTGTTGACTACATTAACACAGGCTGTTACTTGCCAGGGCTTTTTTTTTTTTTAAAGGAATTTGTTATTACCATAGTCTGAGTAGGTGTTTCCACTTTGTGCCTAAAACAGCAAAAAATAGTATGTCTTGTCACAATGTGAAATTAATGAGATTTTTTCACAAATGAAAGGAAAAATAGTAAGGCGTTTTTTTTTTAATATTGTACTTACTATATGGTTTGCTGAGTTGGATGCCTGAGGTGTGTGTTTTACTTTGTAGAAGTTGCCATCATTTACTTGTTTCTGGCCACTACAAGTGCAGCCCATCCTGTAAGCACAATGGGTACCGCTTTAATTTCATATTATATCTAATATTATAGTATTTGTAATAGCTTGTAATAATGTAGTACCACGACAAAATTTAAGTTCATGTTACGTAGTTACATGCGTTCGTTCCGATGTTCTTACCTGATGAAGCTGATGAGCTTTACTCTCAGCCTTTATTAGTCGCCACTCCTCCAAATGCAGGCCTCAGTGTTCGACATCATTCCACTGGCTGAAAAATTGAAGATAAAGTTTAAAACTGTAAAACTATTAAGATCTGTCCGTAGCGTTGTATTTAAGATCCATGCACCATGCAGACAAAAAGTGACTGTCAAATGAGGAAGTGGAAAATGCATTTACAGCTTTTTATAGTACAATTTGCATGTTATACTCTAATTGTCATGTGGATTAAAATAAGGGGGGGGGGGTATAAATGCAAAAATGGAAGAAACTGACACTTAATTCTCAGTATTTGGATCATTTTGAAGCAATCTTATTTCTCATCACTCATACACAAGTCCTTTCTCTGTGAGCTTGAAGCGATTTAAGTTGCCTCAGGCGAAATGTTTGATTTACTTAATTTTCCTAAATGCTGCTGACTGCAAAAGTCAAACTGTCTGACGGCAGTGGGATTAGTTATTTAAAACTGCTCTATTTTCAACATCTATATTAGGTTCTTTGACATATGGCAGAGCCTGTTTGTCAGGAGTTCGAGTTAATGGTTGTTCATGCAAATAAGTGTAAAAGGAAATACATCAGTGGAGGACAAACAGACATTGAAAGACATAATATAACACCTTTTTATGAGACCCTTTTCTTTTTCCTCTTACTTTTTGTTTTTTTTTATTTGCTTTATATGTGTCACACCATAATGAAAAAACAGACATTATCAGGCTTCAGTTAAACCCTAAAATAGTCAATTATCATAATATTAGCTTTGAACTTACATAATAAAACTGACATTACGCCGGGAGTTAAAGCAAGTGTAAAATGTTAAAATTATATCTGGAAGAACTATTAACACTTCCTTTAACCTTGCTGCATTCATTTATCATGCTTTCTAGCGCTTACGCAGTAATTTATGACTTTTTTGTAAGCCTTTGTTTATCTTTCAATTTTTTTATTTTATCCACATCAGAAAATGCTCTTTTTTAATGCTTCATTTTCAGAAGCAACAACAAGTTCTTGAACTTATGTGGCTCTGTCAATCAAAAAATGAAAGTACCTAAAAACGATAACTGCTTTTGTCCTTACTGGGTTTTTGCTTTTGTCAATATGTAAACGCTGCAAATTTTCATTTATTGCAATAACTGCACCAACAACACTTTTTTTGTCTTTAGATATTATAAATTCATAATGATACCTTTAAACAGCATGTAATTATTTTTTTAAAAATCAGTTTTTTATGATAATGATTACAAATATCATTGTACAATGTAATTAATGTCTCAGATAGCACGTAAGTACCTTGAGCTTGTCCCTAGTTCTCATCTTCAGAAGTAGCCCAGATGCGAAATGTCTTTACTTTCCGCTGTGAAGACAGACAGTTTGTAACCCTGCCACTCTCACTCACTCATTCTGGTTTGGAAAGTTTCTATCTCTCTTTTTCTCTCTCGCACACACTCACAAACAGACACACAGCCACAGTGAAGATAGGCGTCCCCTGTGGGACCAGAGCACAGTTTACTGGAAGTATGCAGCAGTTTGTTTATTGTGTCCTCTAACCTTTTTGGCAGATCATCTAGAGGACGATCTCCTGCTTGTTAAACGTCCATTACTCCATCCTCTACATTAACATAACGAATACGTTTCAAGCGGAGTTGTAAGATTTACAAATGGTTTAAAAAGTCAGATTAATATGCGGAAGACAATTATTTCTCGCTAATAATACCAATACAATGCTGTTAAATTGTGTCTTAATGAAATGGAAAATTGATTGCGTTGTCAAACCTTCTTTCTGACATTATGAGCATCTGGTGTTGTCTGTGGCTTTGGTGGGGTTAAAAACGTGATGTTGTTTCCACTACATACTTTTCAGTTCCCCTAGCAGCCAGTGCTGTTAATCTCTTCATCTTCACACAGCATTCTTACTCCACAGCAAAGAGGGACTGGACACACAGTTTTCAGTTTCACAAACTTTTTTTTGTTTTAATTTTTTTACATACCATCTACATATGAAGAAAATACACCAGTAGGACTAAATGAGAAAGGGCAAAGGCTGAATATAGGTCAGAGTTGATGACTGTTTGCATGTATCTTTTAGCTTTTAAAAAATTGTTTTGCTTGTATTATCTGTTCAGTCCTTAATATACTACTAAATCGCAATTACCATTCTAAATAAAGGATCTAGTCAACACATTTTTACTGTTAGTTCAGCACAATATCAAATGCTTCAATGATTTTCCAAGATTTGAAATTGAATACTCAGGCTTTGAATTAGGCTAGTTCAGTAGTGGCAGTATTTCACACTGTACATGTTTTGTTGTTATGATTCTTTGAAGTTGAAGCACCGTTGAAAAGCATTTAAATCTGCATTAGGATTTTGTTTCTGCGGCAGATCATGAAGCATTATTTTTGGTTTGCTGATGCTCCTCAGTTCTGACACCAGAGGGTGCTAACAGCTATGCTTAAATCTGCAAATCTCCGAAAGGTCCTTCCATTTTCCTTTCATCAAGTCCTTGTCAACTTCTTTCCATTTCTATTGTCAAATAAACCTTCCGGCGACTTCACACACGGAGATGACTCAATGGCTGTTGGACTTTTGGGATTTTAGTGTGTGCTGCCTTTATGTCTATTTGTAGATGATGGTGTGTAAATGTGAGAGCAGATGCAATGACAGGCACATTCAGAAGGGAAAAATGACAAGCCAGTGAGCGGTCAATCTATCAAAGTATAACAATGCTTAGTTTTTCACACCATACAACACACTTAACCAGGCCTTTCCTTTTCTCACCACACATTGTGCTGAGAAGAGAATTCACCATTTTTTTTTCAACATGAGACAATAAACATTAAACAGCATGTCCTTGAGATACCTGGCAACTATCACACCTTAATCTGTACTTTTTACTGCTAAATTACTGCAGTGTTATTAATAATGAGTGAACGAGCCAAGCTAGGAAGATATCATTCACTGTATACAGTAACCTGTAAGTGCAGAGAACAATAAATCTTACAGCACCGGAAGTGTTTGTTTCCTATGGGGGGCTTTATACAACACACAACGTGGGGATATTACTCTCTGGGCAACACTTCACAGGTTTTTGTTTGGACCACCTGTGCTGTGTGTGGAGACTGTACTGTGCTGTAGTTCTCTGATGGAACAACCTCACTTCACTGTACACACATTTACACACGAACACACACAGAGTGCAGGTGCATGCTGAGTGTTATTGAGTGCGTCCTGGCTCCTAACTGCCGTTACTCCTTTCTTCTAGTTTTCCATCAGCCCTTGTTTTCTTCCCAGGGCTTGGCGGATGCTTGTGTACAGCCCTGTTGGGGTCCCCAGACATTGCATCCTGCCTGCAGAAGGGTCATAAGTGGCCCCACAGGATAACCTGAACAACAGTGGGAAAGAAAGGGAGCGTGGGTCTTCTCTGGTTATGCAGTTCTGACCACCTCTGAGCCAAAAGCGTCCACGCTGTCAACGGCAGCTTTTATATGCCATTATTAATTTGAGTGGGCACTATATGCAAGTGAAAATGTCTTCATGTGCACCTGTGTGCATTTTATCGTTCTGTTTGTTTGTGCACATGTTACAGAATCATGTAAACCTGCTCATTCAACGGAAACTGTGCAATCAGTTTATCAAACTTTTGATTTATTTACACTCTCTCTCTTGTTCTTGCATGGACACACAAACACACACACACACGCTTTCCTCAATTTTGATCTTTCACTACATCACAAGAGGCCCCTCTTTGACTTCCTGCCTGTGTGGGAACCACTTCTATCCGCTGTCACACATGAAGAAAAAGAAGGTCTCGCTCCTATATTTGCCATAAAAGACAATGTGATTGTCAATAAGCCATGAACAATTGAGCTCCCCAATGTATCCAGCATGCTCTGCTGCTGTTACTCCTGGAGGAGAATACATGCATTAGACTGTCAGCACTGGAGAAAAAAAGTGTTGCTGTGCAGTATTTGTACATTAAGCAGTTTTTGTAGACATTCATATGCTCAGTTCACTGTGTTTCTGAATCTGTTTATGCTCCTTATTTAAGTTATTTTACTTCCATATTCATTGAAGCTCAAACCAGCACTATGATGTAAAAGCACACAGATTGCGTTTTCTTCAAAGAGTACAGCCATGCTTGGTTTAAAATACTCACACTTTTAGATTTAGCTGTAGTTTGGCTAGAGTCCCTGCAGCTGCTCTAGCAGCAAGTTGCTCTGAGGTAAACATGGCTGCGGGAAAGCCCCTTATTATTGTGCTCCGGATGACGTTCCTCACTCTTCCAGTGTTTACTGTGGAAATTTCTGCCAATGCCCAGCAGGCAGGTGCTTCCTCCAAAACCCTTTGCTTTTCCAGAAGATTTGAGGATTAATTTAATCTCAGAAAGTCAAGCACGCCTGCAGTATTTTTGTGAAAGGTTTCAGCACCTGTACTCATTTAAACTATGATGATACGGTCTATCTTGAAGAAACTGATATAGTTTATTACTTAAAATGTTTAATTTTATACAACTTTGCTCATTACCTGCTCTTAATACAAGGTTAGCTGTTAATGGCGGACTTCTGCGTGAATGTGAAGAGCATAACTATCTGTTAAAGATCTGAGAACGTTTTGTTGCTTTCCTTAAAAGCTTACAGAAATAGGTGTTACATGTTTGCATCAGTGTGTAAAATTAATAAAATGGTGGTCTACGTGACAAATATTGGTTTAATAAAACAGTCTACATGTCTAGACTAGATCTGCAACAAGTGACTGTCGGCTCCTCCCATCATCAAGCTCAGCAGAGGTTTAGTTGCTAAGTAACTAAAAATGATTATTTAAATGCCTTTTTTAAATTATGGCACATTTGAAATCAATTAGCAAATTTTATTATTGTTATTTAATGTTCGGAGAGATATGATATAGTCATGATCAGCATTTCATTCACAAGTTTTTTCAGAAAGTGCAAAACTATGGAAAACAGAAAACTTTGTTGAACAAGACTGATTAAAATTAGAATTTATGATTCAATTAGTTACATTTTGGGATGGTATTTTCTTCTCATCCTGAATGTAGGAAGAACAACTGCACATTTGCATGTCTTTCAATCTACAGATGTTTTTTCTTAAGAAACTCAGATGGTATTAAAATATGTTATAATTCTGGTCAGAGGATTGATCTTCCCATAAAAGAGACATATTTTGAATATGCTTTTTTAAAATAAAAACAATTGATGAAAAGAAGATTTGAAAGTATATTTTATTTTTGGAGACAATATAATAGGCAGTGCATACAGCATAAACTTTGCACGCTGAACCACAGAACGTTACTGAATAAAACACAGAAAAATATGATATAATGACTTGATACATAAGACCCAGCTATTTATTTATTTTGGCTAATGTTTTTGTCTGCTATATTGCAGTGACTTGATAGATTTGAGAATATGCTCACATCTATGTTAATCATCAGCCAGTTTTTCACTTCAGAACTGCAAACAGCAGTTGCACAATCATACCATGAACATTCAAAATGAAGTAGTTTTCTGGATTCCAAAAAAAAATATATATATAGAGAGAGAATAACATTAGCTAGGAAAATATATTACTTTATATCTTTAATCTTAATGGAACAAGAAGTCTTTTGAAGATGTAAATATGTTGAGATGAATATTACTATTACGATATGTTGAGCAGCCACAACAATGTAAATGCACTGCAGCAATTTGAAGAAAATCTAAACACGTATGTGCACATATATGTCAGTCAGATTATGCTGATCCTATGAACTTAGTTTATGACTAGTGCTTTGTTTGGTCTGTTGTTCAGAATTACAACAAGCAACATTCACCAAATACTCCACACGAGATATTGCATGAAAACCGAGCAAACCTCCTAAGTACAGTATATACATTCAAGTATTAAAGACCATTTTTTCATACAAGTGTATGAGTCATTGTGCAGGTGTACAATGGCAGCATTAGAAATGCTGGAGAAAAGTGCATGTGATGTTTTAAAAGCTTATAGTACAGTACTGATAGATAAGTAAATAAATCTTGATCTGACCATTGGTTCGCTTCTCTTTTGCGGTTGTTAGTGTGCTTCTGCAATAGGCTGATGATTCGAAACAACTTGTAGTGATCATTTTTTCTCTCAATCTTTGGCAGAGAGTCAGTCAACTTTTGAGGACCTTTGACTCAAGGCTTACTTACTCACGGTTGTTATTATTTCAGTCTCTGAATCTTCAACATCAGCGTAAGCGCCGTCAGATTCGGCGCTCTCTTTTCTCAGCGCATCAAGAGGTATTAACAATGTTTCCTTGGCTGCACAGCTAGATGCATCGTGGCTGTTTGCTGTGCTTGGAATGGAAGGCCTACACCCATCGTCAGTTGGCTCATCGGAGTCTTCTTCTGCTTCGTCTTCTCCATCAGCTGAGTCTCCCAAATCTCGACTCCAGTCTTCGTTGAGTGTCTCGGTAGACGCATCAGTATTGCCTTTGTTGTCTTTCCATCTTCTATTTTTCATTTTCCCTTCTGGGCGCTCTTCAGTCAGATCTCTTTCTTCACTTTCTTCTTTATCAGGATCAGCCTCAGATTCGGTCACAGCCTCCTCCACTGCCTCGTGGTCTTTTTTAGGTTGCTGTTCCTCATCTGCTGCAGATTCAAATCCTGCATTTTCAGTGGATTCCTCCCTTGTGGTTTGAACAGCCTCCCCTGACTGCATACTCTCTACTTCAGATTCTTCTTCACCATTACTTTTTATAAAATCCTTCTCTGTTATTTCAGGTTCCCCTGACTCTTCATCTGCAGTTTGATGATCTTCAGCCTCATCTCTTGCCATATCTTCTGTGCACCTGCCACATTTTGATTCAGACTCTTTTGTGCTTTCTCGTTCAGAAGATTCCTCCCCTTCAGATTCCTCTGCAGGCATTTCGGCCCCCGTTGGCTCCTGAACATGAGATTTGTCATCTTCACTTTTTTCTTCTTGGAAATCTTCAGCTGTGCTACTTTCTGCATTTTTTTCAGATGATTCAGTCTCGTTGGGCTCTGCGGCTGATACCTCTTCTATATGTTCAGCCGCACTTGAAGTCTCGTTCTCATCTGAGGCCTCATGTGCAGTCTCATCAGCTGACTCGTTTCCTGGCCTGGCCTCTGACTCATCGTCTCCTGACTCCTTATCATCTGTTACTTTCAATGTGTCACATTGTTCTGTGGTCTGATCAGCATCGGTTCTCTCACCGTTTATTGATTCTTTCTCGTCTATTGCTAGGTTGTCTGTCTCTTCTTCTGATGCGTTTTCATCCCTTGCAGATTCAGGATCAGCCTCTGAATCACCACAGTTACATTGTTCTTCCCCACCTGTCATTTCCTCCAGCTCCTTGTCATTTGAGTGATTGTAACCTTTAACATTCTCTTCTTCCTTTTCTGTGGCCGATGTTTCATCATTTGTGGTGGCAGCCTTACTATCCTCAGAATCATCATCAGTGGTAGGGGTACCACCTTCTGCATCTTCAGTTGTTCCATCATTCTCCTCAGCCACAGTGGCGTCCCCCCCACCAACATCTTCTTTCAGGTCATCATCACTTGTGACCTCTTTGTCTTCTGCAGTCTCTCCGTCAGAGTCAGTTTCTCTTGCACTGGTGGTATTTGCAGCTGTCTCTTTGTCGGATTCATGTTCACTTGTAGCTGCATCAGTTTCTTCTTCAGCGTAAATTTTGACTGCAGCTTCATCATCTTCACTGTTTTCTGTCACAGGCTGTTCAGTGCTGTCAACCATCCCTCCATCCACAGCCTCATCATTTTTCTGTGACTGTTTGCTATCATTGCCGTCCTTTTCCCCATCCGTTTCATCATCGTGGGTTGTGGCATCAGTGTCCTCTGCAGAGCCATTTTCACTGCTAGCACCCGTTTCTTCTCTGTCATCACTCGTCCGTGCTTCAACAGCCTCCTCATCCTCACGCTCTGCTGCTGCAGCTTCTTCCTTTGACTCAGCCTGCCTTGTGGCAGGGATCTCATTTTCGACTTCAGGTGTTTCTTCTTCATCTGGGTCTTCTGACGATTCCCCAGCTGAGCGTGTGCCACAGTTCTCTTCTGCAGACTCACCTGCACTGATGGCAGGGAGCTTTTCTTCATCAGTGGCTGTTCCTTCTTCCTCTGAACCATCTCTGTCGGTATCCTGTTCATGACTTGCTGAATTGGTGGTCTCTGCTGCTGCATTCTCATCTTCCCCTGTGGTTGCATCAGAAGCACTTTCCAGATCATCCACGTCATCTGATTCACTAGCGTCAACCTGCTTTCTTTCAACAGCTTCCACAATGTCAGAATCCCGATCAGTTGCTGTAGCAGTCTCTTCTTCAGCAGAATCAACCTTTGAGTCATCTTCTCCAGGGACAGCAGTCTGTTCTTCTAAAGCCATCTCATCTTCGGTTGTTGCTGTTTCAGCTGGTTCCTCTGATGACTCATCAGCAGTGGCTTCGTCATCGTTCTCATCAGGACAAATGGGAGCACCGGTTTCTTCATCATTCTCCATGCCTTCCTCCGCAGGCTCTTCTTTTTCTGACGTGTCTTCTGTAATGGTCTCTTTTTCATTTTCAGCTCTGTCATTGTTCAGTTCATCCTCAGTTGTCACAGTAGCCTCCTTTCCCACAGCAAGCTCGTCGTCAGTTGCCTCTGCAACTGCCCCATTTGATACTACTTCTCTGGCTACACCCTTGTCTGAAGTTTCATCTTCATTTGTAATGATGTCTGAATCTTCTGCAGAGTCATCTTCACTGGCAGTTCCAGTCTCACCCCCATCGTCAGTCTTCTCTGCTGCTGCAGTGGTCTCACTGTCAGTTTCATGTTCAGTTGAGGCCACCACAGACTTTGCAGCCTCATCTTCCTCAGTTGCATGTTCACTCGTGGCAGCTGTGGTACTCTCAACTGCTTCATTTTCATCATCTTCTGTGGCAGTTTCAGAGGCCGTGTCTATGAGTTTCTTTTTATTTGAGACAGAAATGGCTGTGTTGTAAGCAGATTCCTCTGCTCCCTCGTCTTTCTCACATTTATCTAGAATTGAATTTGCCACATCGGCTTCCACAGCTCCATCTTCAGCTATGGTACTGTCAGCTTCTTCATCCACTGAGTCATTTTCATCTTCTTCTTCTCCCTTCTCTTGATCAGACTGGTCTTTATATGCTGAGACCACAGGAGTTTTTTCTTCCTCATTTTCATCCTCAGATTCTTTTTCTAAAGGATCTTGGGTGTTGCCTGTTGTCTCTCTCTCAGCTTTGGATTCCGTTTCACATTGTTCACCACCAGAATCATCCTCTGTGTCCTCTTCCAAAGCTGTTGCAGGTCCCGAAAACTTTTCTTCAACTGTGCCCGTGACTTCACTCTCACTATAGGCTGTCTCATCTTCAGTTTTGCTCAATTCGTTGATGCTATCTTCTGGCAAGGCTTTTACTGTGTCTCTGTGAGCCTCCGGTTCAGCTTCCTGAGTCGTGTCTTCTTCCTTTTCATCTGCCAGAAAGCAGAAGGCTTCTTCAGCACTCTGGGGGTCTATATTACATTTAACTTCTTTAACCGCCGTGACAATTACTTTTTCTACAAGTCTCTCTGCTGCTTTTGTTTCACTGTCATTTTCAGAGTGGGAAGCACAGTGGACTGCTGATTGTGTGTTCACAGACATACCTGCCTTCATCAGCAGAATCCTCTTTAGGTCATAGTCACTGCTAACTGGTGCTGTACCCCTAATCTCTGCTGGAAGACGTAACTTTTTCAACATACATGTTTCACATGGGCAGAAATCATCGATGTTTTCATTTCGTTGATCACTGAAAGATGTTCCTGTTGCCGAATCATCACTTTTTTCTGCCTGTGAATCAGCTGATTGATGGAGCACGGCCTTCAGCCTACGTCTTCTCCCTTCCGCTTGTGTAGTTGAAGCTTGTGACATTTCTTTTTTAGGAGGCCTTGGTAGGCCCGCTTGACCTTGAATTTTCCTCAGCTCCCTGTCTATGCTTGCTTGGATTCTTTTGTGAACCTCAGCTCTCAGTTCATTTATCATCATGTCCAGCTGCTCATTCTCTCCTAAGTTCCATCGAACTTTGAACTCTTTCATTGCATTGATGTAATGTTTCATGAACTGCTTTTCTATTTTCGTTAGTAAGGTTAGGACCCAAATTGGATCAGGATCTTGAGACAGAATCTTGGCTAATTGAGCTCTTTGGCTGTGGACAGGACTCTGTAAACCGGTGTTCTCTTGACATTCTGTTTCATCTTCCTCTGGAAGTTTTTGTCCATTGTTGTCAGATTCTTCTGTACTCTTGTGTGAGGATGATGGTGTTTGTGGCAGTTCTCTTGGGCTATCATTGGTATCATCTGTTCCTGGAGTATCTTCCTCTCGTTTTTCTTCCTCCTTCTCAGATTTCCATTGAATTTCTGTTTCTGTCCCTAAGAAAGCTGCACTGCTTTGAGTTTGAGACGCATCACCGTTCTCAGCAATACCACATTTTGCTCCATCGCTACTCTTCCCAGAGCCCGTGGAGCCACTATTGACATCCACACCAGAGGACGATGTCTGATTGTACTCGTCATCGACAAATTGGGGACCATTACCTTTTTGCACAACTTCTTTTTTGGAAGGATCACAAAGCCAAAGAGACTGAAGAATGCTCATGAGTTCTTTATATCTTTCATCCTTTTCATCTGCATTTATGGGATCGCGGTCTACTAACTGAAGCTTCACAAGGCAATCCAAAAGACCTTGAGCAGAAGTGCTCAGCTTACGCCCATACACAGGGGAAATTTCTGGTAAACTGTTGCATCTGTCAAGCTTTGGATTCAAAAGTACTTTCATCACTTGTATAGAGGAGTTAAATATTTTTGAGGCATCGTCCCTTTGAGTGCAGGTATTTTCTTCATTAGGTGCCTCTGAGGTGGTTTGGCAATCATTTTTGGTGTAAGTATTCATTCCATCATTTTCATTAGTGTCTTTTAAATGCTCAGCCTCAGAATCATTATTCTTTTCATTGTCCTCCCTTTTTTCAACGTCATCTTCTTCCGGGTCATTTGTTTGTCCACAGGAGCTTTCAGCAAGCTCCTCCACGTCATATGTGTCATCTTCCGGAAGTGATTTCAGCCACTCATTTACAACCTCAGTGGGGGATGCATTGGGGAGGATGGATGGCACAAGATCTAACCCATCAGTACCTTTGTTCTTGTGTCTGCATTTGCTGCTTCTAACACTTTTATCAGTGGCACTCCCCCCTGTGTCTGTGGTGTCCATCTGACCATTTGCCATCCTGTTTGAGTTGACAGATTTTGATTCTCCAGGTGCAGGGGTCTCACAGATCTCTTTGATGTCTGAACTGGACAGAGTTTGTGACAAGTCACTTTCAGTTGATGCTGAATGACAAATGACTGGATGTTTTTTCGCCTTAGGTTGCTGCTCACTATGAGAGATTGCCAAATTTTCATCTACAGTCTCTCCAGTTGTATCTTCTGTATCCTTAACTCTTGACTTGGTCTTACTACTCATTTTCCCACTCATATTTAGTCTCTCTTCTTTCTGCAAACCAGAGCAGTCATAATCCGTTGGATTCTTAGGTTCCTGTGCATTTTCTAGAGGAACGGTCTTCCTTTCCTCAGAAGAATCATCACTGGCTTTTACTTTAGATTTTTTAGATTTAACAGACAGGCGTGAGTGCACACTTAAAGAGCTTTGTGACTTTGCTTCAATGTTCTGCCCTTGAATCTCAGATGCCTTTGACTTCTTTGAACGTGCTGAGGCTTGGGACTGTGATGACGTACCTGTCGGTGACCTGTCTCCACTTTCCTCAATTCTCACAGCAGGAACTTCAGATCTGCTGCATACATCACATCGAAATGAGGTCGCTGCTGAATGATTTGATTTTGCTGATTTGACTGACATGACACTACATGCTCTATCATCGGCATTATCCTCTTCAGTTTCAGCTTTTTGCTCAATTTTTTTAGTCTTTTCTGATCTTTGTGATCCATGAGATGCTTTTGACTTTGCAGATACCGAAGTGGCATTTGACTTCACTGACTTTGCAGACATTGGGCTTGATGCTCTCTGCCCAGTATCTTCGTCTAAGTTTTTATCAGTGACTGTGGTATTGTTTCCAGGAGAAACCCCAGAAACTTTATATTTATTCGATCGATCTGTTGCATTCGAATATCCTGATTTAGCTGATTTTGTGGAGTTACTACTTGAAGCTCGTTTGACATTCAGCTCACTGTTTTCATCCTTTGGACTTTGAGAGGCATTAGACCTATTGGATTTTGCTGATCGAGCAGATTTTGTAGACAGAGTGCTGGGCGGCCTCTGTGCATTCTCCTCATTCTTGTTTACTTCGGTTGTCATGGAGCTTGGTGGCCTCCCTTCATTTAGCTCTTCAGTATTTCTTTCACTGGGATCATCAGCAGAAGCTCTGCTTGAGTTTTCTTCTTTGACTTTTCCTTCACTTCCAGCTACTATTGATCTCTTAGATCGACTTGAGACATTTGACTTTGTGGACCTACCTGATCTGGCACTTGCCACACTTTCTACATCATCTTTTTCTGCAAGGTTTTCGCTGACAGCCACATTGCTGACTTTTGTCCCACTTGACTTCTCAGATCTGGCTGACCGTATGGATTTGGCAGAATCCGATTTTGCTGATTTAACTGACAAGGCACTAGGTGCTCTTTCTGTAGCTTTCTCCTGTTCATCAACATTATCAGGAGCAATCCCACGGGCTTTAGTTTTCATGGACCTTTCTGAAATGTAAGATTGACCTGATCTGACAGACATGCAGCTGGCAGCTCTTTCATTTGGTTCTTCTTCTCTGTGATCTTCATTCAGGCTCTCAAAGCTTTCTACTACTGCACTATCAGAGTATTTGGACTTTTTTGATCTTGCTGAAATGTTTGACTTGATTGTCTGCGTAGACAATGAGCTGAATCTCCCATCCTCATCAGCAACTTCAGGATGTTGGAAAGTGAGATGGTCAGAAACATTGGACCTTTTAGATTTTTCTGAAATCTTTGACTTCAATGACTGTGCTGATTTAACTGATAATGTACTCACAGGTCTCTCCCCATCATCTGAATCATCAACACTTTCTTCTGCTGGAGCACCTGACACTGATCTATTTGATTTTGCAGAAACAGCTGACTTTGCAGAGACTGCACTCTTTGCTCTGCCATTAGTTCTTCCATCTATGTTTCTCCCTTCTTGAGTGTTGCTATCAGATGGAGCTCTGGACACATTTGACTTTGCACATGCTGTTGAAGTGTTTGACTTAGTTCTGATGATGTTTTCTTTGGCTGGTACATCCATTGAGCATTTTGATCGCGCAGAAATATTTGACTTTACTGAATGGATTGACATTGAACTTTCTGATCTATTTTCAAATTCTTCCTCATCGTCAAGGTCTCTTTCACTTTCATTTTCAGAAGTATGCTCACAAGGAACAACATGAGCATTTGATTTCTTAGATGAGGCTGAGATATTTGACTTTGTTGACTTTGCCGATTTAGCAGACATATTACTCTGAGCTCTATCTTCATTAGCCACATGATCAAATATGTTTTCCTCTGCTGCATCATCCAGTTGTTTTGACTTTGCAGACTTTACAGATGACGCTGATTTTCCAGTTTTGGTTGACAGTGTACTCGGCACCCTCTCTTCAGGTTCAGGAGCGCTGTCACTGTCATCAGGAATTGCAGAAGCCTTTCCTGACTGAACATCACAAACACCTGATTTAACTGATTTCATAGAAGCATGTGACTTTGTTGATTTAGCTGACAAAGCACTTGAACTTCTCTTTGCAGACTTTGCAGATCTGTTAGAAACACATGACTGGACTGATTTGACTGACATGCTACTAGGTGCTCTTTCATCACTTTGCTCTCTTGGATGTTCTTTATCATCAGTGCTTATTTTTCCCGAGTGGGTAGATATTGAACTTCTTGCCCTCTCCCCAGTCTCTGCTTCTTGAGTTTTTTCTTCAGAATTGTTCATATCGTCCTCCAAATGAACCTCACAGACTTTTGATCTTTTAGATGCAGAGGAAACATTTGATTTGGCTGATTTTCCTGATCGACCAGAGAGATTACTGGGAGCTCTGTCTTCACATTCATCATGACCAGACATTTTTTCCTCCTCTGGATTATCCAGTGTTGCGGATTTGTGAGATTTTACAGAGTGAGAAGACTTTGTGGTTTTGACAGAAAGGGCACTGTGCGTCCTCTCTTCAGCTCCCTCCTCACAATCTGCCTCATCAGGAAGAGCAGCAGATTTTTCAGATGGAACATCAGAAACCTTTGATTTGACTGATTTGGCTGAAACAGCGCTTGGTGCTCTCTCTGCAGACTTTATGGATATTTCTGAGACACCTGACTTCACCGATTTGACTGACATGCTGCTTGGTGTTCTTTCTATATTTAGCTCTTCAGCATTTTCCTCAGCAGAATTCTCTGACTGGTCTTCAACTGGAGCTTCAGTGGAGCGTTGGGATTTGTTTGATCTTGCAGAAGCCTTTGACCTGACTGACCGAGATGACACTGGTCTGCCTTCACTCTCCCCTTCAGCAGCACTTTCTTCAGGATTGTCCTCCCCTGCCTCCAAGCAAACTTCAGAAGCTTTTGATCTTTTAGATGCAAAGGAAACATTTGATTTTCCCGATCTGACCGACAGATTACTTGGAGATCTCTCTCTGTGCTCCTTGTGGTCAGACATGTCTTCCTCTGCTGGGCCACCGTCTCTTTTTGACTTAGCAGATTTAACAGAATAAGATGACTTTTCAGTTTTGGCTGACTGCGCACTCTGTGCTCTATCTTGAGTTTCCTCTTCCTTGTTTCCTTCATCAAGATTTTTGTCTGAACAGACTTCAGACACATTTGATTTGACTGACTTTGCTTCAGCACGTGATTTTGATGATTTAGCTGACAAACCACTTAATGGTCTTCCTGCAGACTTTATAGATATTTCTGAGACACATGACTGGACTGATTTGACTGACATGCTACTATGTGGTCTTTCCCCAGATTGCTCGGTGTCTTGTTGCTCACTAGTAGCCTTCGAGCCCTCCTCCTCTGGAGCATCAGCATTTGAGCTTCTTGATTTCTTTGATTTTGCAGAAATATTTGAGGCGCCAGATCGGGATGACATAGGAGTCATTGTTCTTGTTTCACTCTCTCCTTCAACAATTCTATCCTCTGGATTTTCTACCTCATTCTCGGAATAAACGTCAGAAACTTTAAATTTTTTAGATGTTCGGGAAACATTTGACTTGGTTGATTTTCCTGACTGGACTGACAAATTACTTGGAGCTCTTTCCACGTGATCCTCATGATCAGATATGCTTTCCTCTACTGGACCATCCAGTCCTTTGGACTTCCTAGATATTGCAGAATGAGTCGACTTAACAGATGTGGTTGACAGTGTGCTCTGTGCTCTCTCTTGGTTTTCATTTACATCATCTCCTTCAATGGAAATTCCATCAGTTTTACTATTCTGAAGATCAGAGACATTGGATTTGACTGATTTTGCTGACAACCGTGACTTTTTGGACGTAGCTGACAAAGCACTTGATGTTCTCTCTGCAGATTTTACAGATGTTTCAGAGACACCTGACTTCACTGATCTGGCTGATAAGCTGCTTAATGGTCTTGCCTCAGTTGGCTCCATTTCATTTTCTTCGTTTTCTGAGCTCCCTTGTTGTAGAGCATCAGTAGAACATTTTGACTTGTGTGATCTTGCAGAAACATCAGAAACAGCTGACTGGGCAGACATGGATCTCACAGTTATTTCTTCACTCGCTCCTTCAACAATTCTTTCCTCTGGATAATTTTCCCCATCCTCCAAATGAACCTCACAGACTTTTGATCTTTTAGATGCAGAGGAAACATTTGATTTGGCTGATTTTCCTGATCGACCAGAGAGATTACTGGGAGCTCTGTCTTCACATTCATCATGACCAGACATCTTTTCCTCCTCTGCATTATCCAGTGTTGCGGATTTGTGAGATTTTACAGAGTGAGAAGACTTTGTGGTTTTGACAGAAAGGGCACTGTGCGTCCTCTCTTCAGCTCCCTCCTCACCATCTGCCTCATCAGGAAGAGCAGCAGATTTTTCAGATGAAACATCAGAAACCTTTGATTTGACTGATTTTGCTGAAGTATGTGACTTTGCTGATTTGGCTGAAACAGCACTTGGTGCTCTATCTGCACACTTTATGGATATTTCTGAGACACCTGACTTCACCGATTTAACTGACATGCCACTTGGTGTTCTTTCTATATTTAGCTCTTCGTCATTTTTCTCAGCAGAATTATCTGACTGGTCTTCAACTGGAGCTTCAGTGGATTTGTTTGATCTTGCAGAAGCCTTTGACCTGACTGACCGAGATGACCCTGGTCTGCTTGCATTCTCTCTGTCAGCAGCTCTTTCTTCAGGATTGTCCTCCCCTGCCTCCAAGCAAACTTCAGAAGCTTTTGATCTTTTAGATACAGAAGAAACATTTGATTTTCCAGATCTGACTGACAGATTACTTGGAGATCTCTCTCTGTGTTCCTCTGCTGGGCCACCGTCTCCTTTTGACTTAGCAGATTTAACAGAACGAGTTGACTTTTCAGTTTTGGCTGACTGTGCACTCTGTGCCCTCTCTTGAATTTCCTCTTCCTTGTTTCTCTCATCAAGATTTTTGGCTGAACAAGCATTAGAGACATATGATTTGGCTGATTTAGCTGACTTTGCTGATTTATCTGATAGAGCACTTACAGCTCTCTCTGCACATGATTCTGTTTTGCTTGACATGCCGCTGGGTGCTCTGTTTTCAGTTTGAGCTCCCTGACTATCTTCATCTTCAGGTACATTTGGAGAAATGTTTGATCTTTCTGATCTCTGTGAGATATTTGACTTGATCGACTTTATGGACATTGAGCTCCCCGATCTCTTTTCAGTGTCTTCTTTGGTAACACTTTCTTCAGAGACATCACCACATATTTCAGAGGAAACTGATTTCATATAGGCTTCAGATGCATTTGATTTTGAGGATTTATCAGATGTATTTGACATATTGCTTTGAGCCCATTCTCTTGATCTTCCAACATTTCCCTGCTGAGCATCACAATTAATGTCATGAACTTGAGAAGCGTTTGATTTTCCAGATACAGCTGAGGCATCAGACTTGGCAGATTTTACTGACATAGAACTAGGTGCTCTAGCTTCAGCAGTATGTTTTGTTTCTTCAAGCTCGTCATTGCTAACTATTCCTCTTTCTTGACATTGTTCCCTTTCATTACCGGACTCCACATTCTCACCGTTTATGTCATCACAAGCTCCAGATGCTTTTGATATACTTGATCGTCCAGATTTATTCGACTTAGCTGATTTGACTGACATTGTGCTTTGTGGTCTGGGTTCTGGAGTCTTGCCTTCTGTCTTCAGTTCATCTGAGATTACAGGACTTTTGTTTGCATGAGGCTTGGGGCTCTTTGGTTCCCCAGATTTTGCAGATACATCTGACTTAGTTGACACTGCACTAGGTGGCCTAGCAATTTCCTCTTTTTGGCCTGTTGACTTTCTGGATGTTGCAGATATGTTTGACTTCACTGACCCGGCAGACATCACTCTTGGTGTTGTTTTATCTTCTTTGATTTCCACTTGATTGTCCTCTGAGGTTTCTCTGGGTGCAGTGTGAGATGTTCTGGACCTCCCTGATACTGAACTTTGTGCTCTTGGTTCCATTTCATTTTCATTTTCTTCAGCTGAGTTTTCATTGCTGTCATCATCAGCTATTTGTCGTAATTCTGCAGATACGTTTGATATGGATGACATGATACTGGGCGTTCTTTGGTATAAATCCTCATCAGCTTGTTTTTCCCATTGAACAGGAGACTTGTTTGACCCTTTTGATCTAACAGAGGCTTTAGATTTAGATGACATGGAACTTATTGGTCTTAGCACATCCACATTCTCTGCTGACTTTTGCTCTTCAGCTGCCGCCTCTAACTTTACAGATGTTTGAGACTTGGAGGATTTCACAGACATGCAGCTTGATGGCGTCTCTTGTCTGTCATCACCTCCCATTTCTATTCCTTCAATTGTGACCTCTACTACACCTGATTTGGACTTTTTGGAGGCATTTGACTGAACAGACATGGCACTTTTGGATCTCTTCCCATCTTCATCCTTACTTTTGGTGATCTGCATAGTGTCAGGCTTGTTTGAGGCATTTGACTTCACCGACATGGCACTTGACTGATTCCTTTGTATCTCATCTTCCTCTTCTCCATTGATTTGTCCGGTTTTGTATTCAGGATTTGCAGATGCCCCACAATAACAAGTGTAAGACTTTTTGGAATTTTTTGACTTAGCAGAGCGCTCTGAAGCAGTAGAGGCTCTGTCTGTGGACATGTGTGGCATTGGGGATCCTGTATCCAAAGCTGCGCTTTCAGAAATCTCTTTTATTTCAGGTTTGCTGTCCTGAGAAGGTGTTCTCGAAGCCCTTGGTGAACTGTCCCCATCTTCATCGTCTTCATTTGCATTGGTAACACATCCAGCTTGTTCTCCTTTTTTTGATGTTTGATCAGTTGTGATAATAGGCTGATCGTTTGCCTCACACTCGTCCATTATGGAGGACTGCACATTGTACTTTGGTGAGCATGTCTCACTCCGAATGGTGCAGTACTCCATGATTTCAGATGCCTCAATCGTCTCCTTTACACAAGTTTCTGTCGCCACTACTTGCTCATTGAGCTCTTCACTTGATCTCGACACAGTTTTCCTCTCAACAACCATCTTCCGAGACACCAGTGTGTGAGAAGATGCGCTTGAGCTGGAAGTGTGAATACAACGACTTGCATCATGTGTCACTGGTACGTTGTTCCACATGTCGTAATTCTGACAGTGAGGGCAGCAGTGAGGGCAGTGAGGATGCCCGGTATGTGCTTGATAGTGCTGATTGGCATAAGCATCATCAGGTAAGCTGTTTTCAGATTCTGAATGGCTTCTGTCACTAAGGTGTGCCAAATATCGATCATTGCGTTCCGGCATATTCTCATGGGTACCACCCATGGTCTTTCTTACTTTTGTAGACCAATGCAGTGTTTCATCATTTTGTAGTCTGAAGCGTACTTTCATCTCCATGGACAAACTGCCATCTTTATTAACTCGAACCCGTTTCTCTATGTCGTCTTCTCTCACACCGTCACCAGTAGGTGGACAGGAACCAACGATGTCCGGAGAGTCGGTTCCATCTGGTACAGACTTATCAGATGACACTGACTGCTTAGTGAACTTGTTCTCAGATTCCTTATTTGCATGGTTGATACTATTCTTCACAGCGTGTCCTTTGTTTTGTCATCCATCCAAAAAATGAAAGGGATTTTTTTTAAGAAAAAAGAGAGAAATATGTAGAATTAGGCCACTACAAAGGTGTACAATCATATCTTAAATAAATAAGAAATGCAGAAGAGTATCCCTCACATTAGAGGCAAAGTTAAATCTTTTACGAGATTAGGACTATTTTTTTTTAATTGTATTAGGAACAACAAAGACTTTTTCCTACTTTCTTTTTCTTCATTGCAGTCAGCACTCAGCTTTGGAAGTTTGTCACTGGATGTTTTTTGAAAGTTCTCCTGAATGGATGGGTGGTTAGGCTCTCGTCCCACACAGAGAACTATGCCTGGGCTCTCCAGAAGACTCTGGACACTGTCAATCTAAAAAAGATGAAGATTAGTAATGTTTTTTGTAGTTTGTTCACCAAATGCAGCTTGTCCTTATTATGAGCATTCAAAAACACAAAAGACAGAGGACTTCTGTACTTGCTAAGAATCAAAACTGGGCAGATTGAACTTTTTTTCTTTTAAAAACTTGCCCAAACTCTTTCACCATGAAACCAATAGCTGTTTATCAGAAGTTATGCATTTATATGGAAATGTTAATAAATGTTATTCTTCCCTATCTAATTGCTCCATGAAAAATTTGATATGCCTTCTCTGTAACAAACTTCACAATCTACATGTCAACACTATTACTGTGTTATTGGGATTTTAGACACCAAACATTCAACATTTTTCTTCTTCTTCTACTTAAAAATATTTTAGAACTGTGAACTCAAAAGGATCAGGACACAGTTCCCTCCCTCCTTCAGTTCAAGGATGAGTTGCGAAAGATTGCTGTCAGTCATGAGCTGAATCATGTTGAGATTAATCTCCTTATCCTGGATGATCACTGAGATGTCAGTGCATCTTCAGATGACAATCCCCTCTGCAATGATGACCTGCCATTGTTAGCATCAGCATTACTCAGCAGTATTTGAGTACTTAGTCTGCAATAAGGTGGACTAAATGATATAGCCAAAGAAACTATACTTTTGCAATAATTCCGTGACTCTGAATCACACATTTGCCTCACTAACAGATGTTTGGTCTTAACAGAGAGCAACAGAATGCCCATAAATAGATCTCTGTCCTTCAACAATATTTTTCTAATTTTTCTTATTCTTATTGATATTTTTGTTATTTGATATAGTCACTTACTACAGACAATCTAGTAACAGAAGTTGTGGAATGCTGAACTCAAATATAACACTTTTCTTCCACCTCATCCTTTATGTCCTGGAGGGCTTTTTGATGTTGGATTCTGCTGCCTGCAGTGCTATTGACAGCTAAGAAATGCTGTGAAAACAATATCCTGAAATATTGAGTCTTTCCCTGATTTTTTATGCTTTTGTGAATTTTATTTTATGATGACAGCGCAGTTTTAAATTTTAAATCCACAGTCAGAAAAGGCAGATGAATGGCTTCATCTGGGGGTCACACAAAGCCCAGGTGAAGATAATTAATTGCCACAATGGAAGACATATTTCTGAGGCACTCCTGCTATCAAAGCATGGGGAGTTTCAACATTGACCTGTTTCTTTTTTTTCTCAAAAATAGCTCTGATGTGACCAAGATGAATGGGGTTTGAAGAGATATCTACAATCTGAATGTGTGTGTGAAGGAAAATCCCCACATGCACAAACTAAAAACCTGTATGCCACTAGAATCATAGCTATTAGTTCTAAACTAAATCCAAATTAAATGTAGTGAATATGCTGGTTGTATGAGTGGTTTTGCAACTAAGACACTATAGGTGTGATTAGACACAAAGAGAAGTCAGCGTCACAAAGATTTGCACTAAGATTTCAGTGGATCTAAACTGTTTGTCTAAGTAGGTATCAATCTTTTTCTACAGTTACTTTACAATTTACAAATTTTTCAAAATAAATGTCCTTTTTCTTCAGAAAACTGTGCAAAAGTCTGTTCTGTTCTAAAGATAATTTTGAGTTTGACTTTTCCCTGGAAAGATGTTTCAGATATAGATTGTAGGATTTAAGAGAATAAACTATTTGAAATCTTGACCTGTTCTTAAAAAGTCTTTGATCTCACCTTGCGGCCATCCTGAGTGTACAACTTCCTGATGTGGTACTGCATGAGCTCAGAAATCTCCTCCAGGAACAGACTAAAGCTGCGCATACTCTTCCGGTGCAAGACGATGGCCTTCCTGACCAAAGGGTCACTGCTCTTAACCAGCATCACCCTCTTATTATACCTGTGATGATGAAGGAGGTGGTCGTGACCAAAGGGTGCTTCCTCAGGTCTGCTCAGCCCTCTAAGAACATACTGATGTGGATGGTGGTGATGGGGTGGGTGAGCATGATAGAGAGGTGACAGCTGGGTCTCTGCCGCTTCAAGAGCCCGGGCGTGTCTGTGATCGGAGCAAAGATAGCATTCGTTCTCTAGTTCATGATGGCCCATAATGCCATGTTGGGGGATCCTGGGCAGCCGAGTGGTGTGAGGGTTGAAGGGGACTGGGGACCTGTGGGAGCTTTCTCCCCCTACAGCATTGAAGCACTGGAAGTTGCGCTTGTGGGACGACATGTTAGTTTGCTGCGATGGCTGCCTCTCTGGTATCAAGTAAACAGAAGAAGGTGGTAGATCAGCTGGGGAAAGCAATGGCAGGGAGTGGTCATGTTTCTCCGGAGCTGCCAAGCTAAAGGTTTTCCACAATCCATCTGCATGACTCCCACTCACCCAGCTCTGAAAGAGATATCGAAAAGAAATTCAAACAAATATCTATCTAATTCAGCCGACTACTACGACTAGAAACATCTGTTATCAGTCTGGATATTAGATGAACAGCAAAAATGAAAAACAGACAGATATTCACATTATATCTACAAAAACCCATTTTTTCTCAATTCAATGAGTCCATTTTTATGTTTCCACAGAAGCCCAACAATTCCTCTGATTGGTCTTTAAATAACTAAAACCTACAGCAGTACCAAACCATGGCAAGCTGACTGAAGGCTCATCTGCAAATGAAGAACCTCAGGATAATTGTTCTCTTTATTTACATTGTTTCTAATAATACAAAGACAAAGGTGAATTGATCTAGTGGTTTCTCACAACCTGGATCAGTGGAAATCTTAACGTAAACCTTAAGAACTGTGACTTAATAAGGATTAGGCCACATACATTTCAAATTCCTATTTATACAGACATATTTATAGTAACCCAACGATGTTAACAATGTAATCATGCATCTACTGAGTTTGACAGATTTTGAAATTTGCCCATGCTGCAATCTGTCATGACGTTTTTAAGTGGGATACGCGACAGGGTTGCTATATAGAGAATGTACTGACTGCAGAGCAGATCAAAAAGTAAATGGTGGTAGGGATAATGAGGATACAGCCACAAATAAATCCTTCCAGTGACTTTAAATAACAAGCTTAAGTCTCCACAAGCAGTAAAAGTGGACATTGCCTTGGTGATTGTCCCTGTCAGTGACAAACATACACCGTTTGCCAGATTTTTCCTGCAATAAAAACGCAAGGATTACCTACAAAAAGCAGAAATATCTGCAATAAGCCCAGTGCAGTATCGCGTGACAATAGTTAATGGTAAAGACTATTCATTGTTTCCTGATGGGAAGGGATGCAAGCCCACTATGAAATGTGAATAAAGTGCTAAGATTTCTGAAAATGGTAAATTAGGCTAAGCGTGACTGACACCTATAAAGCACAGCTTTGGCTGCCATGGTTGTTCTTTTATTAGCAATTCTTAAGATGTGATAGTATAACAGCAAGTGTTGCTGCCAAAGGAAAGTAAATTATTACTGCAAATGCTCTTTGCATTGCCTTCCTATGAGGTACACCAACTGCTCTTTATAGCCCACAGATACATATGGCATTTTAGCTATAACTTAAGTCGAAATGGTTGAAATTGTTACAAAATTTAGAAACAAATATTTAAACAAATATAAATGATTGAGCTGCTGGTATGAACAAGTGAAAGAGAGACTGCAAATGTATTTGGCAAAATGCAAAATGCAAATGTTTACACTGGTTTGTGTAAATAAAGTTATCAGAAAGAAACATTTTACATTATGCTCTGTTCAAAGTTAGCATTAGATATTTATCAACAGAGGCCAATACTTTTTTAATTATTGGATGCTAAACAAATGTTTAGCCTTTTCTCACTTCTCATTTTGTTGACCATAAACAGAATGCATACGAAGACCATGCTCTCTTGAGTAAAGCAACAAATCTCTATCCAAATAATGCATCGAAAAGTTTCCGAACAAAAAAACTTAAATGCTTAGAAAATGTTTGAAGCCTGAGACTACTTAGGCATCTGCTCTTTGTAGGGATCACACACATAAACTAATGAACTCGTCATTTTTGACAGTCAAAGTTTTGTTATTTCAGTTGTTACATGCATGTTGTGAAGTTACAATAGTCAAGCTGAAATATGCAGTATTTGTTAAAAAAAAAAAAAAAAAGCAAACAAGAAAAGATACTTACATGACACACATCCACAGGCCGGATGACAACTGACACAGACCTACAAAATAGTGTCCCAAAGCTCTTGAATGTGAGAAGAAAACTCCTAAAGTAACACCCAAACTGCTGCAAGCAGAGAAATGCAAAACCAGTCCAAAAGCTGTCCTACAGAAGCGGGCCTACCTGCTAATCAGATACGTGGGACGCTAAGGATAGAATGAAAAGCCCTGCTAATCACTCTGAGATTGGACTGAAATCTGCTGAGGCTTTGGACACATGACTTGGACCTCATCATTGCATAAACGGAGTTACACCCTCTTTGAGAGAGCAACAGCATACTCTGTAATAATTTATAATGAAGGATAATCTTGGCTTTCATTTGTCATTTTTAAACAATCTCTTCAACTATGATGATTGTCAGTTGGGTCTTGACCCCATAAACTGGGTTCTGCAGCTGGCTATGATTAGATTGAGCAGGACATTACCAATATGAATGATTACTAGTGTACACTAACCTGTATACATTAGATTAATTTGTATGGCTGAGAAAACAGTATTTGTTGAATATCAAGCTGCTCTAAGACTGTCAAATTATGTTGTTTATTTTACTAACAGTGTTCTTTGATACAATCCACCTTCTTGTAATCCAAAAGTTGTGTGTATACTTTCTTGTTTAATTTTAACCTTTAATTACATGTAATGTTGCATGTCATTGCCTTTTTTAATCCTCCACTGATTTGGCACTGTATGCCCTTGCAGGTATCTCTGGCTCAGGAGCAGAATGCATTTGATCTGCTTTTACTGACTGACTAATTTGTTTAGTGTTGATTGTCACATTGTTTGTTGTTTCCACGTGTTGGCATCCCTTCTGAGTCTGATTTCTTCCTGTTAAAAATGTGTTTTTCCTCCCTACTGTTGCCAAGTCTGTTGCCAACTGTTGATCAAAGGAATCACTAGATTTCCATTTATGATATTCTTATTTTTTCCTTCACATGTAAAATTTCCTCATATCAATTATGCAGTAACTATTCACTATACATGGCCAATCAAACAAAGTCATATCAAGTTGGAGACATTTACTGCTCCTGTCTTAGTATCACTTAGGGATTTATTAATCTTGTAAGGACAGCGGAGCTGCCATAGAGTATGAGGGGTAACCCTTATCAGAGGCTCACAGATAGCATGCCAATCCCTGCCTAAGATGTCGGAAGTTTAAAAGAAATAGTCACATGAGCACTCATTCTCACGAAGCCTATACACGGATCAGGCTCTGTGTGCCATCTGTCTTCTTCCTATGCAGTTTGATGTGTCATGTTGGGGTGGAGTTGAGTCCAGTTGGGCTGTCTAACTGTGTCCTGATGAGATGTCCTCATGGGACAAACTCATGGGACCCCCTCCTGCTGACTCACAACGGTGAGTGGGACATAGAGGAGCTACTGAGGATTTGATTATGGGCTTTCCTGTGTGAAGAAGGCCCCTCCTGTAAAACCCCGAAGTCAGATTAAATAGGTCCTAATCAGTTTTGGCTTTAAATGAAATTAGTTTTGAGACTTACAGTTGTGACAGAATTAGTTTATTCTTCAATTAACCTCTGACCAACAGAAAACCTTTCATTGCTGGTTAACGGAATAGGTTCAAAGAGCAGACTGATTTGCTGCTGCCTGTCAGCTGCCCGGCTCTCCCCATGTGAATGTAGTCAGTCACAGCAGGACACCCTGAAGCTCATCAACCCTCAGGCTTGCACGTGGGCCCTGATGCTCGAGCTTAGCTGTCCCTTCTCCAGCCTGCTGCTAAAATATCAGGTCTGATTAGTGAGCAACCTGTTGTGCAGCAGGACGGCTACTACTTTGATTCCAAAAGCTGATAAAGCATCCCACAGGAAAAGGAAGCACTGATAAAAAGCCTCAATTTTAAACTTGGACAGTTTTTTTTTTTTTAAAGGTGGAAGGTTGAATGTAAGATTTGATAAATAGTTTCAAATTTAAAAACCAGCATGTAATGCGACATGCGTGGCAGCTGAAGGCAGGGACCTTGGCGATCCTGGGCAACAGAAGCTGGCTCTGGTCGTTATAAAAGCCACTAGCCCTTACAGATTACAAACGATTTCTCCACACAGAGAAAGTCACTTACAAGAAAAAAAAAACTAATCCCTGTTAAAGTCCTTTGTCTGACTCTCCAGGGTCTCTCAAGTTGAGACAAAAAAAGCACCCAGCTAATTCCATGGTTTATGTCACAAAACCATTAACTGCACCTGTGAAGAAACTAAAGTTTTTCTTGTTTTTCTGTGCAGAAAGAAAAACTGTGGAAATGTTAGTCATTCAAATGTTGTAACCCTCCATGAAATTGTATAGCATTAGCACTCCAAAGCTATTCAACTAGCATGGATTCTATCTTACAGTAGAGTAATGTAGCTCTTTTAAGTGTAAAATTAATCCATTTATTGTGATGACCAAATGTATACTACGAGACAATTTTATGTCATTGAATGGTTTCATCTTAACAAGGATGGACCTGTGCCAATCCTTTGACAACGTGTCCAGACAGACATTAGCTCTACTCAACTTTTAACCTTTGCTTGACATGGGGATGTCATTATCCCTTTGCTGTCTTTCCCATAAGATTATATTCAACCTTTAACAGTGTTAAATAATATGTCAATAAATCCTACGCTGAAATTAAAAGAAAAAAAAACATATTACCAGATATTTCAAATGAATTAATAAAGTATATGTTTACGGCCTTCATAAAATAAGGTTATGAATATCAGTAGCACATACATCTGTGATCTTGCAAGGTTTCTGTCACATAAGAATTGTGCATGTGTGTAGCCATTTAGCACTGTTATTGCAGAAGTCTGCCAACATAGGTCATGTGGCAATTAATCCTATTAGTGAAAGCTCAAAGTGCTCAAATGGCTTCTTCAACTGTACAGTCAGACTAAGCCAGGGGACAAGACTGTTGGGACTCAAAATCTTTATTTCAAGAGTAGCCAGGCTAAGTTAAGCGAAAGTTCCCAGTAATTAAATATATGCATGATATACTTGCAATGACACAAATGAACAACAAAATCAATGAAAAAATATCAAATATTTTTACACTTTTGTAAATTCACATATATAAAATTATAATAACATAGTATACAATTTTTTTTTAATTTTGCTCACACATAAAGACTACATGTAACTAACAGGCAACAGAATTATCTGTAAAAGTGTTTCCTAACATCATTCTAGGTCCAGCCAACAACCTTGCCAAATACCATTCTATGTACCGTAAAAAGCGAAAAATGTGTTGTCAGAAGTGGGATTCGAACCCACGCCTCCAGAGGAGACTACGACCTGAACGTAGCGCCTTAGACCGCTCGGCCATCCTGACATCCGTGCGGCCATGCTTCCCAAGTTTGTTTAAAAAGGCCTCCAAAAAACTGTTTTCCATAATTTTGATTGATATTTTACGATAACAAAGATACTTAATGGTCATACTGAATGTGAAACGGCTTTCGTGACGGCACGGTAATGAATATTTGCCGAATGCCCCTCCAGCTGCGCTTCATCCTGTGTCCGCTAGGGGCTGACGTCCTGTGGGGCCCGTTTCCAGCACGTGCATGTGCAGACTTTTATTTATTTGGGCTAGTTTGCCGGCAGTAAGCACAAAATCTTAATTCTGTTTTTGTTTTCTTTGTTGTATTTTGTCAAAATTATTGAAATTCTAAGTCATGGGTTTCTTCTGGGGTGGAAATTGATGTTTGATAGTACATAAAGTGTAAGTGAAGTGAAAACCTTTGTCTAAATTCGTCAATTGATGGTCATCCTTTGTTTGCTGAGGCGTGGATCATAATGGATACGTGACTGGCGGCTTGATTTGCTTATCTTAGCTTTCAGCTATCACTGCTCTTAAAGGAGTCTGCCATCTGTAATAAACATAGATCTATCTAGCTCATATCCTGTTTTGAACCTGTCAACATGGTACTTTAGTTAAAGTGTCTGAACTCTTGGGACGACCATGTGAGTCACTTCCGTGCCTCTCATTTTTGATGTTGAGTCTTTAAGGAAATAGAGCCGGGCATCCAGCAGGAAGGGATTCCTCCAAGTTCAGACATCAACAACATCCCAAATATTGAACCCATAACGTAAGGCTGAAGGAATGGGAGTGAACATGGAAATGATGCCAGGGTTCGCCTGTGCCAAGGTCAGTGAGGAGCATTCTTACCCAGAAACTCTGAGTGTAAACAGCACACATCAAGGTACGGGAAATACTGTGTCATTACTGACGTACTTCATCTCTGAACCACCAGCCATACATGACTTTTTGTTTTCTTGTATGCAGGGACGTCCATCACAGATCAGTCTTTTTTCAGACTTTTCAGGCCATAGATACTTTAAATATATTTCCAGGAAAATGAAATACTCATTTTTACTTATCTGGATTAGTTGCAAGAAAATATATATTACACCAATAATGTTGTCTTTTAGATGATATTTCTTTGTGTATTATTGTACATGGCTGCGTGGACAAATACCTGTGCATTTATAACCGACTAAGATTCAAAATGAAGATGTTCTGTGTGTGTGTGTGTGTGTCAGTTCCCTCCATTTTCTCTTCTTCCTCCCACTGTCCGAGTCCAGAGTGTGTCCAGCATCTCATCCAATTACAGCTGGGATGGGTTTGATTTAGGAATGGATGGATTGAGGTTATAACAAACACAGCGATTGACTGCATTTAGAATAAGCAGAGCTTGGAAGTAACTTGCTACACTTTCATTTATTTAACTTATTTATTAACTCTTTTGAAATTGAATTAATTTCACTTAGGCATCTTCAGTTGACTGTGACTTTGCATTTTTGCACAGATTGCACATATAATGTATGAAGAACTTGTCAAATTTGATGTTTTGTATTTAAAAAAAAAGAACACTGGACTTTAAAACAAGCACAGCTGATAATACAAGTTCAGCTGAAACTATTGGTGTGAGCTGACAGGAAACTGGAAGCTATTTTCACATCCAGGGTAGAGCACTTGTCATCACTTTTCGCGTTATTTTCTGGATTTTTATAGAACTAAAGAAAGAAGAAAGAACAATGATCAACAGACTAATGCAGGATGAAAACAAGGAGTGTAACCACAGTAACATTGTGACGGCATTTATTTATTTGATAATTATATTTGCTGAAACATTCTAAACATAATGGCTCTCACTTTGCCTCTGAAGCTGTCATCAGATGGTCTGGTGCTTTGCTTTGTCTATCCTCCACAGTAGCCGTTAAAAGGGGCCGTCTCACACAGCTGAACTCCTAACATCACTCATCTGAATCATTACGCCGTCTGCCTTTCAGGATGCATGCTGAGTAAACTCTGTTAGTGCAGAACAGTGCCATAGTGGCATAGCGGCAATGCGAGACCCCACTAAGATGGAAAAGATGAGGAGTGACTTAAAATTAAAATATGCCCACTCCTCCTTCAAGAGCCCTACCAATTCAGTTAATGTTTGGTCGTGTAATCAGCACTTTTGTTCATGTATCTACCTATTCATGACTGAGTGTGTAATTAAGTAACAACAATTTAAATTAATGCCTATTTCACTAAATCCTAACTAGAGAAATCAACCAAATCCTTTGCAGCGTAGCTTTAGTTTTAATGTGTGTGTTTTAGAAAATGGAAGAATCTCCACAATTTGCAATGAACCCAATTAAAACCATGAATCAAAATTCCTCCTCCCGCTAGTTCTACAGCATGAGATCACATGCGGAACACATGGGGATGTTCTCTCTCTTAAATGGTACAACCACATTGCAATTAGGAAGCACAATAGGAACATCCTCCGCTACATTGAGGTGAAGAGTTACACCACCCAAGGGAGAATCTGCTGCAGTCAAAAACAAGCCAGATAGCGCAGCAGCATTCATAGAACAGACCAATGCAACCTATGCGGTTAGACGCCAGTGCAGGCCTGCTGGTAAAAATAGGTCACGTTCTGCGAATTTGAAGCACTCTTTTAGAATAATACCGTAGGAAGCGTAGGAAATTGATGCTATTTGTTTCAAATGTTTTAAAACATTCCAGTGTAAATGCTCTAATCAAAGTGTAAAGTTTACTGGTTTGTGTTGGAAGAAAGAGCTTTTCTCAATCCTTTTTTTTTCTACATACTGCTGCAAAACTGCAAAAGCTTCGCTGCGTGTGCCGATTTGGTAATCGGGCTGCACTTTCTGTTAAATGGAAATCTAGCCTTCTCCTTCTCCTGGTTGGCAGCCATGCGCTGGCCTCCCTCTGTGTGCTTGCTGGCCGCCTGTATCTGCTTAGAACAGGTGCCGGATCCCGCTCGGCTGCCGCATTCACAGCTCAGGTACGGCTGGGAGGCCCTTGGCTGCTCATGTGGTCCCTCAAGTTTTCCAGGGGTCCCCATCTGCGTCCCCGCACATCCTCTGCCACATGGCACCTGTCCCTCGACGAGTCTGGTCCATTCTTCGTCTGACGACGTACACGCCTGCCTGCCACCACACTCTGCCTGTTTCCGAGCCACAATGAGATGAAGAATAGCTGCACCCATAATCCCTTGCTGTGAAATGTGTGTGTGTTTGTGTGTGTGTGTCCCCCCCCCCTTCTTCTCCTCCTTTGGCTAGATTGAGGGCCAAGTACAAATTGTAAACAGGTTCTTATGCTGCTGTAACTCTCTCCAAGTGGAAATGCATTCCAACAACATTTAGTGTTCACTGATGTAAATGTGTCTTTATCCGTCACATAGAGTAGTTTCGTTTGGTGTGAACTTTGTTGCATTTAGTGCAATGTGAATGTTGTAACGAGCTTGTTTAATAATCCCCTAAAATCACCTCCAGAAATAGTTTTGTTGCTTTAAGAAGTGGAAAAAAATGAATGTTATAATATCTTAGGTGATGTTAATCTATGCTCAGAGCTTATATAACAATCATAAAGCAGGAGTGCAGAGGTCAGGGAAACACACATGAACACAACACATACTGTACATCTAAAGGGCATCTCGGTTTCTTACTCTGATGTATGCCTTAGTCACGTAGTTCAAATCAGCTACTTCCTCCTGACCTACAGCTAAAACATTAAGAGCATCATATAGCTCTAATGCTCAGCTTCCCGGTGTGACGTGACTTGGACGCTCCCTCTCCGGCCACACAATGGACACTGGAGTAAGCAGACAGACAGCCTCCGTTGGGCCTCCTGGGAACATGATCAGTGATCAGAGCTCCCATCAGTCCCAGCAGATGGATAATACTTTACACAGCTGTGACGGCTATGGGGCCGGTCCACAAACACCCACACACACACAAACACACACACACGTCTTACGTTGTTACCTTGACAGTTGGCGTTGCGTTAGACCAGCAATGTTGTTTGTTTGCCCAGGGAAGTGACATGACGGCAGTGGAGGAAATAGGAAACATAACAGACTACCTGACAGACTCATTCCACGGGCTTGACCTGAGACTGGAACTGAGCCAACCAGCAATCAGAGAGAAATAACAAGAGGACGCTCTTTTGTTTGTTCAGCCTATACCCTTATCATCCCAAATATTGTAAATCTTGTAATCCGTTTAAGTGTGTGAAAAATTCAATTTGTCAAATTAATAGTTTTATGAACAGCAGTGTCATGGGAAAACGGGCCGTGGACATAATTCAGTTGTGCCAGTGTGTTTTAACTGTTACACTGCGGCAGTTCACACAAGTGTCACGGCACTGTTTATTGTCACATTATTCTCCCTTTCCGTTCATGTTGATTTATTGCCGCTGAAACAGCAGCAGTGGCTGCCTATGGTTTCAGTGGTAGGTTCTGGCTAAAGGTTAAGATGACGATGAGTCAACTTCAAGAGAGGAAAAAATTGAGGCTGACAAGTTGAGTGTTTTGCCCTCACTTCCCGAAAACTCAAAAGTCACAGGATCCACAATTCCCAGTAAATAATCTTGTGTGGCTCTTCTGGGAATTTCAAGAGAGGGATTTATACATCTTTTTTCTAAATATTTTTTCTAATAAATCATAAGTGAGGTGTTTGAGTGGTTTTGTGAAAGAACCCCAAGTGGTTTGTCAAGTCATTCTACTTAATAACTACGCCACTACTGGTGTGTGTGCCAGCATAACAATGCCATACTTTGTAGATCAGATAAAATTGAAATATGTATTTGATTAATTATTCAAGTAAATTACTCAAATTATTTGAAAAAAAAACTATTTATAAAAATATGTTCAGGTGATACATACTGATTCCCATATTTTTTAAAGGCATTTCTTACATAAGTGCAGCCATGGTAAAGCTTAAGGTGAACTACCACCATAAACTGCTTCTCCTGAGAAAAGGTATTGAGTTTCAATACGTTAATGTTTAAAGAAATTTGTAACAAATTGGATTTTGACCATCTTACTGCAAAGTCTGAGCATAATTTGATGTTTTATGTGGGTGTCCTGGTCTGTGTAACAATGACCTACCCTGAGGCGGTGGATGTGATTGTTTAGTCACTGCAGGACGTCTTTGCCGAGGGAGTCTGCAGCAGAACCTTGGGCTAACCCTTGACAACTGCGGGGCCAATGCCCCATCAAAAACTTACTCTCTCACCCCAAATGCCCGGGGCTCCACCATCCTGTTCCCACAAAATGCTGCTGCGCTGAAATGGACCCTCTGCAGAATTTCGAACCCTGCAGGCAAATGGTAATGGTCTAACCTTAAAGAAATGAGCTCACCACTGCCCAGTTGCAAAGTCTGCTGCATGATGAATGGTGTCATTCTGGTCGGTTTTATCACATCCACAGCAAGGTGTGTCAGAGGCACACAATCAAGACTGGACATGGGTACGAAAAGAGGTCACATTCAGTACATGTGTTTGCCACGAGCCTGTTGGAGGCAATAGGTACAAAAGGCCAGGTTGACAAAGCCTCTCCTGAAAAATGGTGGTTAAGTAAAGACGGGTAGGTAAGATGTTAATCAGTGCGGCAGTGCTTCCTCCCGCCCGCTGAACAGCGGGTTCCCTTCGCTCACTCTGGCTCTTTAATGCAAGGTCCAGCCAGGCCCAAACATCCTGACGGAGAGAGGCTTTTCCCTTATCTGTCAGGAAACACCGCTCCTCCGCCACATCCTCTTTACAAGAAGCACGACTCAACCATTCCCAAAAAAATGCAGGAAGACCAGCCAGACTCCAGGATTTGTCAAAAGCCCCCTGAATTCCTTTTATTGAACAAGAAAATTCAAGAGAACCGAGCGGATGAGAAGGGGAGGAGTGGTGAGAGGAGAGGGGGGGGGGGGAAAAGAGGGGAAAATGAGAAAGGCGAAAAACAGTGAAGGAGACCCTGGAATTTATCTTTTTTTTTTCCTTTTTTTTTTTTTTTTTGCACTGATTACGAAAAAGGTCTGCATCAGCAAGATATACCAGGGGGTGAGGGGGTGGCTGGGGAAGGTGTGGTGGGGGTCCAGCGTGCCTTAGAATGGCACCCAGAATAAAACTCCGAAAAACAAAGGACGACTGAGATGAAGGCGGGTGGCGACAAATGCGCGCCTGTTTTGTTCTAATCCTCTGAACTGGGATGAAATGAAAGAAAGTAGAGACGAAAGGAGAAACACGATGGAGGGAGGGAAAAGCCGGCTAGGCAGTGGGTGTCAGAATGGGCCTCTTGAGCCTGGAATAGAGGAATACCTGGTGTGGTACACGATTCAGAGATTAATCTCTAAAATGAAGACGCATAAAACATTTTTCCCCCAAATTTGAGCACGAAAATCATCAAAAACTAGGAGTCCTATATTCTTTTAATAGTCATTTTTATTTAGGCATCTAATTATTCTAAGTGGTTGCAACTCAATGACGCGTTACTGCTGCCGGTCATTACCGACGTCTCCTTTTAATAACAATGAAATGACATATGCTCATTCTTCTGTGGTGTATTGTCTGTGGACGTAAGATCCAACTGGCAACTGCATTCATAGAAAAATTGGCCTTTATTTTAAATTATTGTCATTCATAAACCTAAATCAGCATACAGTTATAATTACCATTATTATTTTTTGTGGTAAAGGTTGATTATATATTATGAAGTACTTGAGAAGTATAAATGCCTTTCTTTTTTCATCATACACCTTTTTCTTAAATTCCATAAGAAACGTCCAACCGAAAAGTCTTTTTACTTACATCTACTGAGGTAAGACTCCCAAACTAATGAGAGCAACAACATAAAATACAAACATTCGAATGGAAAGCATTGATAATAGCATTACATTTATGCAAACCATCAAAGGATTTAAATTAGCTTCTAAAGAGCGTCTGTACAAGCCTCTGTGCCAACGATAACTGGTAGCATTTACAAATGAACGACTGCTTAACTGGTTTGGAAATTTCATGACAACTGGAGGTGGATTTCCTTAATATTTTGTGTTTGCTTCCCTGAGGTGTCCATCTACTTTTCTTCATGTTCCTCAAATTGCTTTGTTCTTTCCCTGGCTCCAGACAATCATATTGCTCAGTAATCAGTTCAGCTTTTCTTAGTTGGAGGAAGTTGCTCGACGATGCTCACAAGGGGTTTGGAAATCAACAACTGGGCACACAACAACAAATCCTGCCCTTATCAGCACCCGAGTTCAACGTCTTCCCAATGTCTGAACTCTTCTGTAAAGTCTTGCAGTGTCTCAGGTGAGCCACTCGTGGACAGGTGCCTACGAGATGCCGTAGTTGTTGTAGTAGGCCGCCGTTGCGTCGGCGAGCACGGAGATGAGGCTGGTCTCCGTGCTGCTGCTTGGACAGGCGGCGGCAGAAGCGGTGGCCGCGGACGCCACCTGGATGTGTCCCGTAACCGTCATGCTGCTGCCCTGCTCGGGATGGAACCCGCTCCCGTTGGAGTTCAGGTACTGGTCGAACTCGTTGCGGTCCACCTCGCCCAGGAGCTCAGCCTGGCTGAGCTGGTCTAGAGTCTCCAGGTGTCCCTGACTCTCGGGCGGCGGGGACAGCTGACCCATGTGGCCCTGGTGGAGCCCGTGGTGAATCTGCGGGAAAGATGAGGAGCTATAATAAGACAGAGGGGGGCCGGGGATTAGTCCGCCGCCGCCGCCTCCACTTTGGGACATGTGAGGGATGTGGCCTAAGTGTGTGCCCCCGCAGTGGATTTGGCTCTGGCTGTAGTCAGTGTGATACGGAGGCGGGCTGCCCATGTGCGTGTGGTTCTGGTGGTGCTCATCTGGACATGAGGCCGAGGAAGAGCAGGAGACAGAGGAGCTACCGGAAGTCGAGTAGTAAGAGGGGGGTACGTGATCTTGGTCCACGGCATCTAAGGGCGACATCTCAGGAGGGGTGGGCAGGCCGTAGGGGTAAGTGTCGAAGCTACTGCTGGAGCCACTCGGGTCTCTGAAGGTTCGGACGCTGGGCAGGGCGGGGCTGGAGCCCGAAAACCCACCGCCAACTCCACTAGAGCTGACTTCATCTTTGTCAAGGGGGTGACAGAGGGCTCGCTGCTCGGGCAGGCCGCTGTGATCAGGGGCCAGCCCACTCAGAAACACGGGGTCCACTCTCTTGCAGATGCGTTTGAGCTGTTTCTTCCGGCGAGGCCGGTACTTATAGTTGGGGTAGTCCTGCATGTGCTGTACCCGAAGCCTCTCCGCCTCCTCCACATAGGGCCTCTTCTGAGGGGGTGTTAGGGCCTTCCATGATTTGCCTGTATGCATAGAAAAACAAAACAATAATCGGAATTGTTTTAACACTAAATCTTGTGTTGAAAATGTGTTGTTTCATTTGTTATTTTTGTCCCCATCATTTTCTTTCTCTCGATCAGGCATGACACATTACCAACTTATCTACATTTTCATAGAGATATATCACGTAATTAATTGTATTTGTAAAGGTTTACATCAAGATTTAGAAAAGTCTCTTATCAACCTTCCATTGCTTGACAATTTAAGATAATTAAGCTACACAAATCTTGAATAACTGTATTTTAAAGTTCAACAGTGGTTTAAAAATTAAACATAATTTATTCAAACATTCAGAAATGTTGATCAGCTTCTCAGTAAATCAAATTTAAGAATTAAAAAAGAAAGTTTGGTCATCATCAATTTAAGCTCGTAACTCCATTAGAAAAACTCAAGTCATAAGAGGTACAGTGATTTAATCAACCATTAAAATCGCATTTATTAAAACATATAGATTTCGACTATTTCTGTACTGAAATAAACTAAAATCAAAGTTTATTTAAAGTTGAATATGAAGCATGAATTGAAAGATCTTGGCGGGACGATTCTCCTCCCTCCTGTCTGTTTCTTAATCAATTTGAAAACGGGTGACAATGGAGTTTATGTTTCTTAAACTTTAGAAAACCATACTAACCGCTTAACTTCATGATCAGCTGCAATTTGAAAAGCTGTCTGAACTTTAGATTTTCGTATTTTGTCATTTTGGTCTTGCAACAGAAAAAAGTTTCCAAAGCAATAGTGAATCAGTACCGTGACTAACTAATAATAATAATAATAATAATAATAATAATAATAATAATAATAATA